GCAAAAACTGAGCTGACAAAACTGAGCTGAACTTGATATTGCGGCAGTTTTATGCCTCAGTCTGATTTGGTCAGACTCTGAAGATCAGACTACACGTTTGGTGAATGGTGTTGGGTTCATTTCTGGCTGATTCCAGGTTGTTCAGCTGTTCTTCTGTCTCAGCTGCCGACTGAAAAGCTGCTCAGTGGTGATGACAGTTTGGGAATTTAGTGTAAGGAGCTGGAGAACGACCTGCCGGCTGTGCACTGAGTGGGCGGAGCTCGTTACTCTGACGTAGCAACAAGCTGCTCGTTAAGGAACTATAATTTGGTGAAGGAACTGCGAACATTAAAACATATTAAACGCCGCGTTCACGGCCCAGTTTATTAATTTATTACTGTATTTATTTAACTGCTGTATTAAAGCAGTAGAACACTCGAGGAGTGTGTTATCACCAATAACATCACAGCTGTGATGATCTACGGTGACCAAATCACAGCCATGATGTTACTTCACGATAACTCACTCCCTCTTGCGTTCTGTTGCTTAAATATATTTTTTCAAGTTTTAATATTCATTAGAAGTTTCAGAATTTAAGAGCTGATAAGTCTATTGAAGTGAGTATCGCATTCTGAATTTCTATATTACCTTTATTATACCTATATTTTATTTTAATTATAGCTAATGTATTAAACTGGCATTCTGTTATACCAGTATGTTCATATTTGATATGATTTTCCTTATTACTTGTTTATGTAACGGTACGTTCACTTTAGCACTTTAAATTTGTCTGAGGAATTTGTTTGAGCCCATTGTTTAAACTGCCGCTCACAGCTTCATAATTAATTCGAATTAAGTTGGGAAAATATCGACTCCAGTAGATGATTCACACTGTTATTCTGATTCAGTTTCTAATTTGGATTCTGATTGGTTCTGATTCTAGATGTCATTATGATTCAGATTATGATTGGTTCTGATTGTAACTGTGATTCTGATTCAGATTCTAATTGATTCTGATTGTATATGTGATTCTGATTAGCTCTGATGGTAACTGTGACCCTAATTCAGATTCTGATTTGGATTCTTATTGGTTCTGATTCTAAATGTGATTCTGATCCTTTCTGATTCTAATTGTGGTTCTGATTTAGATTCTAATTCAGATTCTGATTGTGCTTCTAATTGTGATTCTGATTATTTCTGATTCTAATTGTGATTCAAATTCTAATTCAGATTTTGATTCATTCTGATTCTGATTCCGATTAGTTCCTATTCCTGTTGTGATACAGATTCAGTTTCTGTTTCCGATTCTGATGGATTCTGATTGAAACTATGATTCTAATTTCAGATTCTGATTGGTTCTGATTCTGAATGTCTTATTATTTCTGAATTCTAATTGTTATTCTGGTTATTTCTGATTCTAAATTTGATTCTGATTCAGATTCTAATTCATACTCTGATTCTGCTTTTAACTATGATTCTGATTCAGTTTCTCTTTCCAAATCTGAAGGATTCTGATTTTTCCCCTGTGATTCATATTCAGATTCTATTTCAGGTTCTGATTCATTCTGATTAGTTCTGATTCTAATTCTGATGCAGATTCTGTTCCGGATTCTGATTCGGATTCTAATCCGGATTCTAAATGGTTGTGACTGTGGTGGCTTTTCAGGTGCGGTGAAGTATCTGGAGTGCTCCGCTCTGACCCAGCGGGGTCTGAAGACCGTGTTCGACGAGGCAATCCGCGCCGTGCTCTGCCCTCCGCCCGTCAAGAAGAGAGGGAAGAAGTGCACCGTGTTCTGAGGAGGGACGCGGCGCGTTTTTGGTGTGAGCCCACTCGCAACGAGGGTGGTCTTCCCTCAGTTCCACCACACAGTAATCATCAGAGTTACTATCGGCTGTTCTGGAGAGACGCGTTTAAAACTGCAGCAGGTGAAGTGCTACACTCCACACTAGACTAGCATAGACTAGTATAGCCTAGCTGTGGGATCTAATTATGAAGGCACAATAAATAATCATGCCAAATTACCCCCCCCCGCTATTTCTGAACTTTGCCTTAATTATTGATACTGAAGGTCATAAGAAGGTCATTGATAGCTCTGTCCCCCTTGTATACATCTAAATTAGAGACTTTTCTCCTGGATAAGTTTGGGCGTTGTGGAAATGTGGGCATTGCTAATCGTAACGTGGGTCTTTTTCCTCTTTCTTCTTTCTTTTTTTTGTTTTTTTGGATTTGTGAATGTGTCAAAAGCCTGTGTAAATATATATTGTGAATAGCTTCTGAGGACGAACTCAACAGTGTCTCTCTTGACAGCTGACTGTAAATGACATTTTAAAATGGTTTTCTTTCCGAGATATTGCCTACTGAACACTTTTTTTTCCCGTGTTTGTGTGACTACTGTATGTGAACTTTTTACAGCACAGCATAAAATTAAAAAAATGAGAGTGATTATTGAAATATGTCTATTTAAAGTATGTTGATGTCTGTCGTTTATGATTAGAGAAGCCGAACTCTTTGGCTAACAGGATGTGGTATTTAAAAGCTCTTTACATTACAGTATTGTTGCTTATCTAGATAACGGCAGATCTTTTTTTTTGTAAAGCCGAGCTTTTCTGGACTTGGTTTCCGTCCATTCGATCTTGATTAATTCTCTTTATTTCATCCTTATTTTGCTGAAACGTGCCATTGTGAGCTGTTTTGTGGGGCTAGCATGCCAAATTTTCTCAATTTAGGCAAAACATTCCTTTTTTTTTTTTTTCTTTACAAAGTGAGTCGTGCGTCTGAATTTTCCGATCAAATGCCTTTTGGTTTTACTGAGATTAAGATCTGTGGGGCGTGCGTGTGTGCGCGTGAGCAAACAAGCTGTCGTTAAATATCCTGTGTGTGTTTTTGCTGTTATGACTGACATCAGTGGTTTATCCACCTTAACCTTACAGCCGGCTGATGTAGATTAAAGACCCCTCTGAATCGTCACAGAAATAAACCTCTCGTGTGTATGATATGACTTTAAAAAGTATGCATTAATAAAATCAAGTCTTTGAATGTATTTTAAGGTGTGTGTCTCAATCATTGCTCTTCTGATGGACATTCATACACTGTGTTAAAGCCTGTGGGCACCTTCCGATCCTGAATTACTTCTTAAATTACACCTATTCATATGGAACCGTCTGGAAAAGTTTTACTCTAGATATGAAAACTGGAGAAACTTAGTGGTGGTCATAGGAACCAGATGTCTGAAAGGGTTAATGCCTCTAAAAGCTCCCTCACAGAAAGTCTGAGAAGGTTCTCGGCCTAAAATGTAGTTTTTAAAATCCATTCATGGTGGAGGGATACAGGCAGAGGCAAAATAGTCCCCAAAGAAAACGTATTATTCCAGATTTTCCACTATTTTCCATCATCAACATTCCATATAAACTCAGAAGACTCGTGTAGGTTTGTGTTGTAGTCATGGCGACCCCTGGTTCCTATGACCACCACTGTAAAGACATCTGGACCATTTCACACCAAACCACTCTGAATCTCAAACCTTGAATTATACAGAAATTTTGAAAATTCAGTGACATTCCCTTTTAAAGTAGTTGAATTCACTCAGTAGAAGAGGTGTCTGGATGTTTTCCCCTCCAATAATTCATGAATATTATTAGTGTAATATTCCTCTAGTGCTCTTACAGTGACCTATAATATTTGTGTGGTGTCCTGTAGTAAAGCACAGGAACTGTTTGACAATGTCCTCAATCTACTGTGCTCTACTGATAAAAAAAAATGCAATATTTCTCCCATTTTAAGACAACTGTTTAGATTTTTTGATTTCATTTATTCACACTGTTCGTTGTTTTCATTCTCACAGCCTGCTGAATGAAGCCAGGAGGATGATCTGATCAATAGGACAGATTTTCCACCTGTAGTCCTAAAACTCTCCTCTCACACAGCAAAATAACATCACATGCAGTGTTAGAGTCAGTCCACCAGAGGACGCCCTGCTTCTGCTCGGCTGCTGAGCGCTGCTTTGAAAACAAAGTCGCGGCCACGCCCACCTGACATCAGAGCTGTTTAACGGTGAACTGGTTAAATAAACAAATAAATAAATTAAAACTTTTTTGTGCAAGATTTCACAATAATTCAATCATTCAGATGTAAACAGAGAGATTCAGAGTGGTTTGGTGTGAAATGGTTCAGATGTCTTTACAGGGGTGGTGATTGGAACCAGGGGTCGCCATGACTACAACACAAATATAGACATTTTATTTACTATCCAGAACCACCAGTGAACCTACACGAGTCTTCTGAGTTTATATGGATTGTTGACTGTTGCTGCCCTGCGATGGACTGGCGACCTGTCCAGGGTGTATCCTGCCTTCCGCCCAATGACAGCTGGGATAGGCTCCATCCCCCACCGTGACCCAGAAGGATAAGCGGTTTAGATGATGATGATGATGATGATGATGATGATGTGTGTGTGTTGTAAAATAGCGGAAAATCTGAGAATAATAAGTTTTCTTTGGGGACTATTTTTTCTCTGCATGTATCCCTCCACATTGACTGGAGTTTGAGGCCTAAACCTTCTCTAAACTATCATAAAACAGTGTCTCAGTCATCAGGCAGTGAATTCATAACCATTTCATGTAGTAACTTTCTGTGAGGGAGCTTTTAGAGGTGGACGTCTGGTTCCTATCACCACCACTGTGAACAGCTCTGACTCGGTCAGTTTCTCTAGCACGGAGCGTTTTGTTGACACTTTGTTTACATCTTAACCATTTAATAGCGTAAAAATTTTGAAAAATTGGTGGACTCCCCCTTTAAAGCCGCCTAATTCACTCATCATTACGAGGGCGGTCTGGACGCTTCTGGACACCTTTCTCACATAAGCGGGCTGTGTGTGTTGAAGATGACTAACCGTTGATTTACAGTAAAAAAAAAAATAATTATAATAATCAATAATTCTTTTTTTAATCGGTCCCTGCGAGCGCGGCCAGGCACGCGCGGCTCTGACGTCACGCGAGCCCGGCCCGGCCCCGCCGCTAGCGTGCTCGTGCTCGCGCGCTGCCTGACTCGCGCCCCGGATGTGTTCTCGCGCCGTGCGGTGAAGATGCCTCTGCCCGTGCAGGTCTTCAACTTTCAGGTGCGAAAACTGCCGAACCGCCTCCGAAAAATAAACCGGCTCCGAGCGCAGCGGAGCCGGGGAGCGCAGCGCTGCAGCCCCGCCGCAGGGGTTTAACTCGGGCTGCTTTATTTCCTCAGAGTCACGGTGTGTTAGCTTAGCTGTCATGCTAACACGGGCCTCTAGCGTTAGCTTTAGCTTTAGCTGTAGCTCCGTTTTCCGTACTTATTCAACTTCGCCGCGGCTTTTCCCGGCCGCCGCGGTACCTAACGCCGCGGTGTTGCGGTGTACACGTTAACCATACGACTTAATAAACGCTGTAAGTCTTATTTTCATCGTTTTAAGACGTTTCTGTTGAGACTGAGGCTAGCTTCTTATTCGCGTTTTCCGTTCCACCTTAAAAGGTGCAGCAGTTACATTCTGTCCTCTGAGGCGCCGGAATGTAACTGCTGCACCATTTAAGGTGGAACGGAAAGTTCGGGTGAGACGCTAGCCTCAGCTATGGACCGTTTCGAGCCGTTTTGTGTCTCAGAGATGGAAACTTTTACCGGAATGTCAGCTGTTGGCTCAGTTAGCTCTGTTGCTTTAGCTCGCTAAAGGAATTTAAAACCTTAACTTGGATTAAACTCGACTCCACAAACAGCTCCAGCTCCCGTCTCGATGCGTTTGTCAGACCGGGTAGGATTTAAACTGTCGTTTTTCTCATCGCTGGTTTGTTATTCACCCATTTCGCCTTTAGCAAAACAGTGCTGGCGTTCATGTTTACACCGATCAGCCATAACATTGAAACCGCCTTTTTCTTTCTGCACTCACTGTCCACCTTATCAGCTCCACTGACCATATAGACTGTAGTCCGTCTGTTTCTCTGCATACTTTGTTACCCTGTTCTTCAGTGGTCAGGACCCCCATGGACCCTCACAGAGCAGGTACTATTTGGGTGGTGGATCAATCTCAGCACTGCAGTAACACTGACGTGGTGGTGGTGTGTTAGTGTGTGTTGTGCTGGTCTGAGTGGATCAGACACAGCAGTGCTGCTAGAGTTTTTAAACACTGTGTCCACTCACTGTCCACTCTATTAGACACTCCTACCTCGTCGGTCCACCTTGTAGATGTAAAGTCAGAGACGATAGCTCATCTGCTGCTGCACAGTTTGTGTCGGTCATCCTCTAGTCCTGCATCAGTGGTCACAGGAAGCTGCCCACAGGACGCTGTCGGCTGGATGTTTTTGGTTCTCAGTCCAGCAGTAACGCTGAGGTGTTTAAAAACTCCAGCAGCACTGCTGTGTCTGATCCACTCGTACCAGCGCAACACACCACCACCACGTCAGTGTTACTGCAGTGCTGAGAATGATCCACCACCCAAATAGTACCTGCTCTGTGAGGGTCCATGGGGGTCCTGAACACTGAAGAACAGGGTAACAAAGTATGCAGAGAAACAGATGGACTACAGTCTGTAACTGTAGAACTACAGAGTGAAACTATATGGTCAGTGGAGCTGATAAAATGGACACTGAGTGGAGAAACGGGGAGGTCTGTTTAATGTTATAGCTGATTTGTGTATAGTGAGATGTTGAGGGTGTAGTGTTTCAGAAGATGCCTGATGCACCTAATCGGCTCATTTAGTGCGGATGTAGTGCTTAAAGGTTAAACCAGTTTAGTTTTCTCACTAGCAGAGCTTTATTCTGATCCAATAGTGCTTATAGTAGCAGCCTTATGTGATGTTGGGGACCGTCTTGTGTCTTATAAATCTTCGAGACCTCTGGCTGTTTTTAACATGTCTTCATTTTGAGGTATAATCTGACTATTTTGTGTTTCTGAATTCAAAACAAGCCCCCCAAAGCTGTAATAGTTACTAGCAGTTTGTTTATTGCTCCCATTGAGTTTCACAGTCTGAGCTGTTGTGTGTTGATCTACTGTAGTAAGCTTGTGCTCAACACTGCAGGACATGCGGCGGTTCTATCGTCACTCGTTGTGAGTTTTCTCTTCTGCCCAGGTGGTGAAGGTGGCTGTCAGTGAGTGTGGTCCAGGCCCACGCCCACTTTGTTTGTTTACATGCACAAAATATTGTGACAACTGGAGAAAATCTGAATTTGACAGGAATGAGTTAACATGTTTACAAGAACCTGAGAAATCTGGTAATGAGAGAACTCCAGGTTTCCATGAGTCGGTCTACAATGGTATTTTTTTACTAAATACATAACATCTTCGGGTCGACTGTAGCTTCCCTGCTCTTTTAATTAACACCCCGAAGAAGAAGCACATGATGTAAAATTCAACTTTCTTGCTGCAGTTTTCTGTTCAACCTGTAGTTATTTACTGACACAGTTTATGTTTTTATGGTTCTAAACTGCTTAAATGCTTTTATTTGTTGCTGTGTTGGAGTAAGTCTGGTTCTGCATATGTAACAGAATGAAAAATACCAGATTAACAGTTTACATGCGATGAATGACTCTTATTGTTGACCTGAAATCCAGGTGCCTTCATCAGAGATGTAACAGTTTAAATACAATTTTGAAAATATCTGAAAAATTAAAGTACCGAAATTTAAACTGTACTGCCAGTATATGGAAAAAAATATACAGTAGTTTATAATTAAAGGGCTCATGTAATTTAAAATCTCTTTTTCCTTTTTTTGGAACACTGGTATGTAAACATTGAACTGTGATGTCACAAAAACCAGCACATTCATCTGCTCGGCCTACAGCTGTTTAGCTCCGCCCACTCATACTGTATTTTGTAAATTATGTAAATTATAAGGAGTGTTTCACCCTGTACTGTGAATATTTGAATGAGGTGCAATGCAAGCAGCCGATCATATCTTATTTACATATGTAGGTCTTAAAGGCACAGTCACAAAAGCAGCCAGGCGTCAAGAGAGATCATGTGAAAATAAATTACGACTGTTTTTGATACCTAAAACTACGCAAACATCAGTGTCAGATCGCTTTTTTGCTTCTGTGCTGTCTTTTTCTTGTTTTTCTGAGCTGAACCAGTGGGGAATTTCACAAAGCAGGGCTTCTCAGTTTAGCCAGATAATCCCAAAGTCAAGCCTGTCCAGCCGGACATTCTTACTAGACAGTCCTCGTCTTTGGGCTTAAGTTTTCTGGCTGACTGAGAAAATCCCGCTTTGTGAAATGCCCCCCAGATCTGTTTAGTGCATAATTAGACTCTGTAGCAACATTTTTAACACTGCAAATCTGTTGCTTGCAATCCTGAACTGTATGGAAGCTGATAATAGGAATAAGATTATAAGATTTCTCACAGAGCTTGAATGATCATGAAGAACGATGGTGTCGTTAGTGTGTATGTAAACACACTGCTTGTCTTTTATGAACGTGCTCTCCCCTCTTCCAGGACGGCTCTCTGTCAGGGCAGGTTCAGGACAGGCTCAGTGATAGTTCAGCGTCATCCTCTCAGACAGAGCTTCAGTGCACGCCCCGCAGCAGCAGGTCTGACCTGCTCGTGGCTTTCACCGTGGGCGACTATGCTCTCAGCTCGTGCCTGTCGGTGTGCTCGCTCGTCCTGGAGGTAAACACAGAGAGAGAGAGAGTAGGGAGGGTAGTCAGAGCAGCCTGCTGAGGGAATTCTGAGATTCAGTGCTTCTGGATTATCTGTGTGCTAGGGCTGTAAGAACACACCAAAAGGTGGTCATTCAAGGGGTCAGTTGTGGAAGCTTATATTATATAGTTAAATAGATCTATATATATATATATATAGATATATATTTATATTTAACTACTTATAAAGATTTATAATGGTATTTATTAAAGTATGTGCCTGTTCTAAGCGTTGGCCCCATCATCAGGAGATCGTAAGGTCGGTTCCTGGTGATGCTACAGCCGTCCGTGGCCGGGAGTCCAAGACGGCACAGTTGTCCTCGCTCTCTCTGGGTGGGCAGGATGGCCCCCCGTCTCCCAACAGAACTGGCGGTTAGCGTCTCCTCCGAACGCATTCAGCTGTCCAATGATGTGGCATTTGCCGCAGTTCGAAAAGATGCGGTGGAGCTTCACAGGACTCAGAGGAAGCCTGTGTTCCTCCTAGCACTGGTGGTATCGTGTGAGGGGGGGTCCTAACTAGTGGGTGCAATTGGATGTGACTGAATTGGGGAGAAAACTGGGAAAATCAGATTGTGCCTGTTTTTGGCCCAAAATAAAATACTAAAACATAAAAATTGTTTACATATCAGCTACTATGTAAGGTATTATTGGGGAGGGTGGGCTGATGTAATCTTACCACAGGACGTCTGTAATATTAATGATTCACACAGCATAAGAAATCCCGGTTTAAATTACAGCAGTAGGTGCGGCTACTCCATTTACACATGCCTAAAAGGTAATAACAGTGAAGTCATAGTAAATAAGAAAGGGTTCTGACCCTAGATCAGTGCTCATACCCTGAGAAGCTTTGTGAATACCTTGTCCTGGTTATATAAATCCTGTGATATAAAGCAGGCTGTAGAAATAACCACAGGTTATATTAATCCTGTATGAATTGACATGTCTGGAAAAAATGCTTTCATACCATGTGAATTCTGTTCTAACAGAATAGAAATGCATGCAGAATGTATTACTTAAGTTTAGTGATATTTAATGTAGTTTACAAATATGTAGTTATGGTTCATCCCAAAGTAATTTAACCGTGGTGAAATCTGAGATTTCATGATTCACTGAATCATTTCCTAATAAATCAAAATCTAATTAAATCATTTTGAGAGCAGAGATTCACCTCTATTGTGCCTGCATCTCTCCACCACATGGGAAATTCACTGAAATTCACCAACCCAAGACTTCTTAAAATAAAATACGGATTTCATTTCTTTGCACAGGGCATCATATTTGACATATCTGGAAAAATGCTTTCGTACCATGTGATTTCTGTTCTGACGGAATAGAAATATATTGCTGCTGTTGGAAGAAAACCTTGTATCTCCAAAATGGTAACTTTACAGGAGAGAGAAAAAACCTACTTTTAATGTAAGTCAATGGAACCAGATGTCCCCCCCCCCAAAGCATTTTTGGGCCATTTCTTTTGGTCTTTTCATGAAATTTACACACAGCGTAAACGACAACAGGCATTTTCAAATTATGTCTAAAACTGAAAAACGGCAAAAATGGAGATACAAGGTTTTTTTCCGGCAGCAGCGACATGCAGAATGTATTAAGTTAAGTCAGTGCAATTTAAAAATATATAGTAACGATTCATCATAAAGTAATTGAATCGAGATTTCGTGATGCGCTGAATCATTTCCTAATGAATCATAATGAATCTGATTAAATAATTTTGAGAGCAGAGATTCACCTCTAGTGTGCCTGCACCTCTCCAACACGTGGAAGCGAATGGTTTCTACTGAAATTCACCAACCCAAGACTTTTTAAAATAAAATATGGATTTCATTTCTTTGCACAGAGCATCCTATTTTGATCTCCTTGCAGTTTTCAGATAAATATTTGATTTTGTTTTTAGTCGAGTTTAGAGAACCACGTGCAAAATGCATAGATCTTTTTTGCTGAAGTTAACCACAGCGATTCTTTCATACACAGGGGTCAGTGGAGCCCATGCAGATAGATGCTGACCCTCAGGAAGACCAGCAGAATGCACCTGACACCAATTATGTTGTGGAAAATCCAACCCTGGTACGTATTCCGCATCAACTGAACCTGACACATAATGCCTTTTCGTTGGGGCTTATTTAGGTTACTTTAGGTTTATTTTAAATAGAAGTAGACAGACGGTACAGAACACATGATAAACTGTTGATCCCTTTGCTGTGCTGCAGTGGAGCGTTTGGATTTTATGTTGGCTTAAACAGGCTTCTAATATCTGTGACAGTCTAATGTGAAGAGAAATTACTTGTAATTTCCCTCTGATCTGTTTACAACAGCATCCAATGACATCCATTCCCTTTCAAAATATTTTTGTAAACTGTACTGACTTATATGTAGAATTATATGGAGAATTAAAGCCCTGTGAAAAGGTTGCACCACATATTGGAGAAAGGACATAGTCAAGGTAGGGCTGGGCAATATGACAATATATGTCGTTATCATGATAAATTATGTCACAAAATAATACAAAATGCTTTTCTGAACGTATCATGTATATCGTCATGTATATCATAGACCCTGACCGACTGCATGTTTATATATAAAGAGAGCAAAATTAGTCCTGTTTAACTGGATTTAGTGCCAAATATTTAATAGAAATCATTATGTTCACAGTTTTGGTATTTTTAAAATATTGTGACATACCAATTTCTTGAAGTATCAGGATTTTAGATTTTTGCCCAGTCACTCATGTTATGACATTATAAACACTGTTATTGATCCGTTTTATCTAGAGTGAGCTATGCAGGTCTGCACTCATTGCATACAGACAAAACCAAGTTCACTTTGTCTGATTGGTCAGTGTTAATCTGGTTCTTGTAGTGCTAGTGCGCCACACTACTGGTTGAGAGAAATAATTGAAAATAATTGTTTTATTGTCAAATACTCAAGTTTGTTTTGACTTGTTTCTGTAAAAATGGCTAGAATGATAAAAAAAAATCCAGTTTATAAATCATATTTTTAACAGCTAGAAGCTGTCGTGGTGGTCTGAGGATTCCTCCTTTGACCAATCGGATGGCTAGGCAAACTAAATACATTACTTTAAACAATAGGCCTTTTCACATGAGAGAGAGGTGCATACACCAGCGGTCAGCAACATGCGGCTCTTTTACTGTCCCTGTTGTGGCTCCACAGCTGAATCAGATTAGTAGGTAAAAATAAAATAATCCTCCTTTACAGTAAAATAAAGCTCTGCTGATCGTTCAACACAGTTTAACAGTAAATGGTCTTAAACTCTGGAGTTAATGTAGAACTGCTAATTCACCAACGTTTAACCCTAAAACGCAGTCTCACAGTCTCGCCTAGCTAGTAGATAACGAAAAGGCAAAGAGACGGATTTAAGATTTTACGAACATCGATAATTTGGAGACGAATGGACTTGTGTTTATAATCAGTTGAGCTGGTTTCCTGGTACGTTTAATCTGCAATGAGAAACTGACAAACGCCAAAAAGTCGCGAAGCTGAAGTCAGTTTCCCGTTCCACCTTAAATAGTGCAGCAGTTACATTCTTTCATTACATACATGGAACAGGAAAAACAGGAAGCTGGTGAATGAGAAGCGACTTCAGCCTTGTAAACAGTCAAACTTTGAGAGACATTTTACAAAAACTGCTTGTACTTCTTCTTTTTTCTTGTTTCCTGCTGGAGATGCAAGAAAAGCAGCTATAGCTGAGCTAAAGCTAAAAGCGGAGCAAAGTACGTCTGTGTTTTCGTGTATATTATATTTTTAGCCTATACTAGTTCATCAGCACATACTGAGTCATATTTACAGCCAAGCTGGTAAATTGGATATAAAATGTTGTGGTTAGATTATTGTTGAAAGGACAAAATGGCTATTCTTAACATTTAGGTTGCGAGCCCTGGCGTAAACGCTGGGTAAAACAAGTTCCACTATTACCTTACGGACAGTACAGGCATTCGTACCACTTCATCTCGCAGCGTGTCACTTTATCTTTGTCATAGTTGCGAAGATGTTGAAACAGCTCGCTAACAATAAACTGAGTGGCAAAAAGCTAAACACACTCACATTCCAGCAGGGGGCGCCGTCAGGGTCTGTACCGCTACTGTAGACGTTTCACACAAACACCGGCTTCATTAAACGAAAATCTGCTCCCTGCTGATTTTTCCCATTTTTCTCTGCTCATCGTCAGCTGACAAACCACTGAAACCATTGAGATAAGGCTGTTTTTGCTTCAGGCTCGAACACTTAAGCTTTTTATATACAGCACATTCTCTGTCAACCTGAAGAACCATTCACAATGCAAAGAACCCTTTAATCATGCAATGGGTTCTTTGATTGTTCATGGTTCTGTATAGAACCATTTTCTTTACTAAAGAACCCTTGAAAAAACGTCTTTTTTTAAGTGTTTAGTTGGCTCGTTAGCATGTTAAAGACTACACGGCTAACAATAACAAGACGGAAAGCTTGAAAAAAGCCAGACAAAGTGAAATGTTCTGCTCAAACTTCTTAAAAAAACATTTTGTGTTGCAAAGTTTGCAAAGCTAGCTAATTAGCTCACTGAGACTAACCTGGCTAAGGCTGAGTGCGTTCTGTTTGAATAGTCCGCTCCTCACTGTCGCCTGCTCATTGAAATGAGGTCTAGATTTTCAGACTGATTTTTTTTTTTATTTTTTTCATTTTTTTCTCCCCCCTCCTCTTACAGGATCTGGAGCAGTACGCCTCCAGCTACAGCGGACTGATGAGGATCGAGCGGCTGCAGTTTATCGCTGATCACTGCCCCCAGTTACGAGTGGAAGCCCTGAAGATGGCCTTGTCTTTCGTCCAAAGAACCTTTAATGTTGACGTTTATGAAGAGATCCATCGCAAACTCACTGAAGCCACAAGGCAAGAGCAGCTCCTGTAAATCATTTAAATTCTTTCTTTAACTTTTCTTCTACACTGAACACCTAGTTAGTTTAGATATCTTGAATATAGGTTATATTTTTATTAAAATACTTGCTTTTATTTATGGTATTTAAAGCAGGTGATGTTGTTTATTTTTTATCTATTTTATGAATATCAACTTTGTTTTTAAAGGCACACTGTGCGATTCCATGGAACGATTGTTGATACATGAACTCAACAGCAAAACATACACCCCTCCCTTCAGTGCTTCTTCAGAAACTCTGCCCCCCAAATTCATAGACAAATATCAAGATATAACGTTAGAGCAAACAATTACCCAGCCGGTAACGGTGGCTAGGCTGTGAGTTAGCGAACTAGCACTGCAGTTGCTGATGTAAAACTAACCAGTTGCTATCACAAATGTTAACCAACTGGATGAAACAGTACTGACCTGCTGATTCTGTGAAACAGCAAAGATGAGTTAATGTTGCCTACCTGTCCAGCAGGAGCGACCTCCTCATCCGTTTTCATGCATTTCAGAACTCTATGAAGCTGAAGTCAGCTTCTTTTTCACCAGCTTCTTTCCGTTACTTCACTTTGTGTTTACATAGAAAATAGTTTTTTGCTGCTGTATTAATGTGTAAAATGTCATATATTTAACCTTATATATTTATTCTTACTTTTATTTTTAATGATACAATTTCATTGCAAACTACTGTAAGCTACTGTGTGTGTTAGCACTATATACTAGCCATTTAACTGATTTGTCGTGACAGTAGGTTTTATAAGCTGTTTAAAAATGATGCCTTATTGCATTATGGAATCTGTATCGTTCTCTGTTTGTCACCAAACCTTATAAAAACAATGTCAGTCTCTTAAAGAGCCCATATCATGGGAAAACCCTCACTTTTTTAAATAAAGGGTGTTTAAAGGTATAAGTAAATGTTGTGAAAGCTTCAAAATATATCATTCACTCCCCAGTACATACAGTCCACCCACTCACGCTGAAATTATAAGGAGAGTTTCAGCTTGAACTGCTTTGTGAACGAGGCAGCATACAGGACAGACAATCACAAACAAGCTCATTTTACATAGTAGAACAACAAAATCAAAACCAGTTTAATTGTAAGGGGTTGAAGAAAGGTTGGATAACTCATAAAAAGGTGGTTCTTCAAGGGTTTTTTTTTAGTAAAGAAAGGGATTCTTTACGGAACCTTCAAAGAACCCTTTGCACGATTAAAGGGTTTTCTGCATGATGCATGGTCCATATCACCAAAAAGCGTTCTTCTATTGTTACGATGTCAGACTTGTAACAATTCAAGAACCCTTTTTGAACCATTCAAAACACGTTATCTATCGATCTGAAAAACACTAAAGATGCAAAGAACCCTTTAATCATGCAAAGGGCTCTTTAAATGTTAATGGTTTTAAATAGAACCATTTTCTTTAATAAAGAACCCTTGAAGAACCGTTTATCATTTAAAGCGTGTAGTGGAGGTCAAAGGAAAAAATAAAGTACAATAAAAAGGTAGGATGTGGGCCTTTAAAATGACTTTATACAGTATTTATTAGTTAAGATTTTAGTTAAGTGCTTAAATGTCAGGGCAAATTTATAACAGTTAAAACAGTAACAGAATTAACTTTGAATTTTGTTATTATTTTTAAGTTTATTCAGAATAAATTATACTTTGTAGGGTTAAAGAGCAGATTTGTGTGTTTCTGTTTTCTCTTCTGTGTGTGCATCTGAAATGCTTGTGTTTCCGCAGGGAAGTGCAGGGGGTCCCGGATGCGGTTCCAGAGGGGGCGGCAGAGCCCCCTCCCTTCGACACAGCTTGGGCAGAGTCGACCAGGAAAAAAGCCCTGCTCAAACTGGAGAAACTGGACACCGACTTAAAGAACTACAAGGGAAACTCCATCAAAGAAAGCATTAGGTACAGTTTTCTCTGATACGAGCACCGATTCTCAGACACAGAGTTAGGACAGTGTTCTTACTGCCATGATTTGTATCCCAGCTCTGATACACCTGTTTAGGGTTATGAAGTGTGATAGTTATCCTGTCAGAACTGGATTTTAGTCACTGTCTGGAGCCCTGCAGTAGGGTGCGTTAAGGACTTTTAAAGAGCCCATATCATGGAAAACGGTCCATATGTGGAATCTTAGTTGCAAAAACAGGCCATTTTTATTGTTCATGTCATGAAAATCTGTGCATGCCTATTCAGCCTACAACATTATGACCACCTCCTTGTTTCTACGCTCATTGTCCATTTTATCAGCTCCACTTACTATATAGGTACACTTTGTAGTTCTACAGTTACAGACTGTAGTCCATCTGTTTCTCTGCATACTTTGTTAGCCCCCTTTTACCCTGTTCTTCAGTGGTCAGGACCCCCATGGACCCTCACAGAGCAGGTACTATTTGGGTGGTGGATCATTCTCAGCACTGCAGTAACACTGACGTGGTGGTGGTGTGTTAGTGTGTGTTGCAAAGCATGCAGAGAAACAGATGGACAACTGTAGAACTACACAGTGCACCTATATAGTAGGTGCTAACTTTAGTTTAATCGAATTTCGAAGGGATTTGTCTCATACATGCATGTTGTATAGTTGCCCCCCCCCCACCACCATCAGCGATGCTGGAATTTGGACACTATTACAGTTATTGGCACTGTCAGTGCCAAAAGCTCCACAGCTTGTTGTGCGGACAAGACTGTGAGGCCGTGACGCCTTCTCTTATGGCTGAACGGGTAATGTGGCTCCTCAGCTAGGCCTCGTCGCTCTAGTGTCCATATTAGGCTAATGCTAAACCAAAAAGTCCAGCTGCTCCTTTATGTCTGCTGCCTTGGAAACAGTGTTCTACTTCAGATGAAGTGGACTAGACAGCAGGAGGTGACCATTTTCATCTGAAACATGACCGAAATATCCCTGACTCAGGCACTCAGCTAAAGGTTTAGTGTTTGCATGGTTTGCACTCTGTACGTCACATTATTTGTGTTTATTTGTGGCGCATTGGTAAAACTGCACACTGCTGGGCCTCAGGCCTCACGTTAGGAATCCCTGATCTAAAGTCTGGTTGGTATTGCTGTTGTTAGCAGATGTGAATCAGTTAAACTGAAGCTCTGTGATGTTTTAGGAGGGGTCACGATGACCTGGGAGATCATTACCTGGACTGCGGTGACCTCAGCAACGCCCTGAAGTGCTACTCCCGAGCCAGAGACTACTGCACTAGCGCCAAGCATGTCATCAACATGTGTCTTAATGTAATCAAGGTGAGCGCACAGGCATGACACTTTGCTGTTTGTTTGCCTGTTACTGCTGAGGCTCTTTTGGGATGTTTAGAGTCCAGTTTAGTGTCAAGAATTTCAGGTTGCTCCAATATGAACAAAGTTGTCTACTTCCTTTCTTGTCTTTGAGTTTACTTTTACCAACAAGTATGTAATTAATACAGCTAATGCTGATCCATTAAAATATGCCCTAATTGACTTATACTGAATTTTGAGATCATCTCTTCTTCCATACATTCTTTTCCAGAGTGTGTTTCTGTTTAGGGATGCATCGATACCATACCAATTTTTTATTTTTTTTTCCCCCCAGACTAAGTACGAGTACATATTTTTAGTACTCACCGATACAGTGTCCGATACCATACTGAGTAACCTACTTAGAATAAAGTAGCTGTTAGTGTAAATGAGTTATTGGACAGGCTTGGCTTTTGTTATAGTGCCCCCTGCTGTAATGCTCAGAATACAGCTCGTGCAGCTGCGCGCGAAACCCCGTCTGTGAAGCGTCTGCGTTCTCGTTCTTGCATGAAGTACGTTTCGGGCCTAACAGTTAAATCATTGTAAATGAAGTGCGTTAGCTAGCTGTGCTACATTAGTTATCTCTAAACGAGCAGCGCTGCAGTGGAGGTTTAGTTCACAGTCAGAAAAGCTCTTCTGTACAGCTGTGAGTAAAGTAGCTTTCATAGTTTTGATCCTCATCTGTCTCTTTCAGCAGCAGCACAGCGACAGCAGGAATCGCATCCGAGGCTAACATATCCGAGGAGCTCACATGTGGAGTTTGTGTTCTCTGAGTCTTTCTGGCTGGTTGAGCTGTAGCTGACTGTCCTCTAGACCCTGCGTGTCTCCACCTGTATTGTGGACGCGGCTGTGATTGTGTGTTTAAAACGAGCTAAAATCTATTCCTGGTGGGAATCTACCAAGGCAGAAAGTTTAAAGCAGAGGTCTTTAATTAAAATTCAGTAAGGTCCAGTCAAAGAAAGTTTCCTTGAGCAAAGGTCCGGAATCATAATGTCTAACTTGCATCATGATTCAGTGCCATATACTGTTTACTGAAGTAGCCTAGTAGGTATATCAACATCTTATACAGTCAACAACTGAATATCAAATCAAATAAAGTCCAATTCAGTCATATTTCAACAACATTTATTGTTTTAGAGCAAAACATGTGAAATAACTTCCCTCTGACTCACTTTCTCCTCCTACTGCTGTGTCTCGCCTCGTCCCTCCCCTGTGTGTGTGTGTCACTCATTCGAGTCTCAGTGCTCATCGTAATGCACAGATCTGATTGGCTGAGTAGCATCATGTGTGATTTTTACCACGCATGCGATTGGTCTGTGAGTCTCCTGGGTCGCTAAAGCTACTGTAAAGGCTAGAAACGTTACGCTGATTAAAACAGGACCACACCGTCAAAATTAAATAATTCTCCATAGTTTATCGGTTATAGGTCTAGGTCCGCGTAGGACAGCGTCTGGGTCCGGACTCGGACCGCGGTCCGCCTATTAGTGACCTCTGGTTTAAAGTGACCGACAACTTTGTGTCCGTCTGTCACAGCTTCAGTAACTCTTCTCTGTGTGAGCAGAGCCTCCTTTACTGCGTTTGTTTGTTAGCACTGCAGCTACACTTGGCTCACATGGTATCAGGTGGTATCGGAATGTCGGTATCGGCCCAATAACCGACAGCCGTGTCGGTATCGATGCATCCCTAGCTCTGTTATCAGTGTATCTGTTTATTCACCTGTGTTCTCCTGACTAATTGAAGGTCCCTGATCCTCTGCAGGTTAGTGTTTACCTCCAAAATTGGTCCCATGTACTTAGCTATGTCAGCAAGGCTGAATCCACTCCAGAGATAGCAGAGGTTGGTACAAGCTGACGTCCGTAACTTCATCATTTCTGCCATTAAGTGTGCGTGTGTTTATTTTCTAACCTACTCTCTGCATCTCTTTCACAGCAACGAGGAGAGAGAGATAGTCAAAACCAAGCTGTTCTCACCAAACTAAAATGTGCTGCAGGTACTTTTACCTTGTTTACTTACATTCTGTCGGTTAAAATAACCTTCCTGAAGCTGTGAGATGCTCAGACTGTGAGCGTTTTTAAAAATAGACTGAAAACCTAGCTGTTCAACTCTGCCTTTCACACAAATTAAGCTTCTTTTAGCTGCACTTCCCCTGTCAGTCCTGCCAAAGGTGAAGACTAAACATGGAGAAGTAGCGTTTAGATACTATGCTGCTCTTAAACTGACCCAGTGGACAGAGAGCATTAGAAGAGCCCTGATACTGAACACTTTAAAATCAGCCTAAAAACGTTCCTGTTTGAGCTTTCAGCTCTGTTTAAAACACAACTCTTCTTCTCTGTAACGGCACTTTATCCTTATGTAATATTTAAATTGATTTTTAATTATTCTAATTTAATTTATAATTAGGTTTTTAATTTTTTAAAGATATTTTTCTTTCAAATCTATTGTTTTAATCATGTTTTAGTTGTGTTATTATGTTGCATTAAGCAACATCACTGTTGCTTATATTATTAATCCGGCCATCTACATGCCAGCCATTTGAGTAAGTGTTAGGGCTGTAGTCTGTTTGTTTTGACTGTTTTGGTGCAGTTGTTTAATAGTGACTCACTGATTCGCCTGTAGTCATGTGGGCTGTGTCCAAAACCACGTACTACTGTTTAGTGTGGTTGTGTGCAGTTACGGACGGAGCCACAGATTTATGGTACATTATTGACGTTGATTTTAGGGTAAAACTTTTAATTTGATGGCAGAACAGTAGTAAAAGTCTCTGTCTCTTCCTCTCTCACCACAGGACTGGCAGAGCTCGCCTCAAGAAAGTATAAACCCGCTGCCAAGTGCTTCCTGCAGGCCTCTTTTGACCACTGCGACTTCCCTGAGGTTTGTCTGTCACTTAGCAACATTAGTACACCAAGGAAAAGGTCACTGCAGAGCAGGAATGGGACTTTCATTGGTTTTGGTTTTAATGATAAACAATAACACACTGATCAATCACCTTTATTTTCACTGGAAATACATAAAGGGTGACCCTCATTTACAATGTAGCCGAGCATGCACGTACAAATATGTTGATTTAAATGGAAAAATTGTACATAATAAACCAACAAAGAAAAGAAAAGAGAGAAAAATTACCGAAGAGTGACGTCAGCGTGTGGAGCGTCCTCTATATAACACACAGTGAAAATCATACCATCATAATCATTATTTAATGGAATTGAACCCTTTGGGACCTTTAAAGGCTCTTGCTTACGACAAGATACCCACATGATACCCACATATATCAAAATGTTCAGAACAATCTCAGCTCTCTCTGGAATGAGGCCCTTTTGACCTGTAGCTCTGTGTACAGAGATAATTCAGCCCTAAAGCTGAAAAAAGTCTCAGTTTTAGAAGTTCTTAATATCTCATGTGAAAACAGCTTTACTCACATGGACGAATTGTTTTGGTGCTTGAAATGTGTTTAACAAAGTCTCAGGATCACAAAAACCATAGAATGTATGAATAAAATAGTAGATAAATGTTCCACTTTCCAAAACCGCTGCAGCAGCTTCAGCAGCTGTAAACTCTGCACGCCATTTCACATGAGTCTCCGATGTGGACTGAATGAAGAATGAAGGGTTTCCGGCGTGATGGTCAGTCCTTAGTGACTTCCTAAGAGTGTCCTTTGGTCAGTTTCACACAGAACGTAGACGGACACACGAATCCACCAGCTCCACACGGTGAGAGGCAGATGACGTGTATCTCAGCCCCTCTTCATAGGCTCATAACTCCGGATGTGAGTCTCGTATGATCTCGTGATAAGATGGAATGGAAAGGGTGACTGTACAGATTCAGGAAGTGTTTGAACTGGATTTCTGAGCTGGATCATCACAAAGACATGAATAGAAACACAGAGAAACGTCTACTTTGACACACCGGCGCATTTGTTGACCCCAGAGGGTCAATAATTTGATCATATATATAATGAGAAGCTTTTTAAAAAGTGTTGGTGGAAAAAAATAACCTATCATTGTGGTCTTCCTGCAAAGCATTCGTCTGCATAATTGGTGCTATGATAAATATACATGTGCATTTTAATCAAAATAAATATCTTTGAACAGTTAACGATACTTCTGGTGGAGCAATTTCGGTGTACATTACTTCACCTTTTCTCAGTGTATTTTACATGCCTTATAGTTCCTCGATGATGCAGAAAACTGACATTTTTGGCTAATGATATCATGATCAGAAGCGTCCAGTCCCTGATACTGAGAGATAGAGCTGTAACAATTAATCGGTTAATCGATTAGTTGTCGACTGTTAATCACCATCTATTTTAATAATCGATTAATTGGCTTGAGTGACATCAAACTGAATATTTTGAGGACGTCATCTTGGGCTTTGGAAAACACTGATCAACATTTTTCACAATTTTCTGGCATTTTAAAGACCAAACCACTAATCAATTAATCAAAATAATCAACAGATTAATCGACATTGAAAATGATCGTTAGTTGCAGCCCTACTGAGAGACAGATGGAGGAGCGCTCAGTGTGTCCGTTCTTGTGTATAATCCTGTATTTTTTCCTGCTCCTGTAGCTTCTCTCCCCTAGTAACGTAGCGGTCTATGGGGGGCTGTGCGCCCTGGCTACGTTCGACCGACAGGAGCTGCAGCGGAACGTCATCTCCAGCAGGTAGGAGGAAGGTGTTCACTGTTACTACCATTGGAAAGATTATATTAAACTCAATCAGAGAGTCAGAGTGTTTTTGAACAGCATGTCAAGGATATTAAAATACTTGTTCAGGTAATTTTCTGTAAATTTATTACAGGCAATTAGCAAAAATGTCACATACCAAAATATAATTGTTTAGTCTAATCTAAAATGTACTACATGTATTGCAGTGTACACGCTTAAGAAAGATGGTTCTTTAAGTGTTCCTTAGTTAAGAAAACAGTTCTATGTATCACCATGAACACTCAAAGAACCCTTTGCATGATTAATGGGTCTTTGCATCATGAAATGGTTCTTCAGATTGATGGATTTTGAAAAGGGTTCTATATAACATCTACAGCACATTCTCCATCAGCACATTTCACCACGCAAAGAACCCTTTAATCATGCAAAAGGTTCTTTGAGTGTTCTTGGTTCTATATAGAACTGTTATCTTTACTAAGAACCCATGAATGACCATCTTTTTTTAAGGGTTTTGAGAAAACCACCTGTGCATATTGTAAATGAATAGACTTTATCGTTCAGGTACAGAGTTACATTCATTTGGATTTAAATGCAAAAATCTGAATATGAATCTCATTGTTTTTAGTTCTTTTTAAATATGAAAATGTTAATTAATAGAAAAACTAAATGCTGTTTAGGAATTTAATTTCAGATGTTCAGTTGTTTTGGTTAGGTTGATCGTTCTCTTGAAAATTCACAATGAAATTTGAAAAACAATGAAAATTCAGTTTCAGTTCAGAATTTAGTTTTAGCTCATACATATTCAAAATAATATTCACATAATATTCACAGGTTTTTGCATTTAAATTCAGATTTCTAAAGGCGTGAACTCCATATTCAGGCTTTCTTGTGTAATTTCAGGATATTTCTGGCATTGTGTGCTGATAAAACTCTCTCTTTACTTTCCAGCTCCTTTAAATTATTTTTAGAGTTGGAACCCCAGGTCCGCGATATTATCTTCAAGTTTTACGAGTCAAAGTACGCGTCTTGTCTGAAAATGCTGGATGAAATGAAGGTGAGGAACGCTTATTGTTTGTGTTTATTTGTTTGTGTGACGTTCGTATTATTTGTCTGACCGTGTTTTCTCTGTTATTTGTGCTTTGTGTTTTAGGATAATCTCCTCCTAGACATGTATCTGGCTCCTCATGTAAGAACACTGTACACACAAATCAGGAACAGAGCACTCATTCAGGTATGGAAAACGGGAACGTTATACTGTAGCCCAGCTTCAGCTCATTTTAACCTTAACTTTTTTTTTTTTTTCTTTTTTCTGTAATTGTTTCAGTGAAGTAAACAGTCACAAAGTCTGCTGTTATAAATTTACAAAGCCATTTTACGTTACATTCAGTAAGTGGTTTATTTTCGCAGTGGACAGTATGACCGTCATTAGTCTGATAAATTATGTTTTCACACTCTGCCTCTCTGTTCAGATTGTGTATGTCATCTGTAATTAAAGCACACTGACCAGCTGCATGTTCGATTACAAAGAGAGCATAAATAGACCTGTTCAGTTGGATTTTAGTGCAGTGCAGTTTGTGAAACATCATAAAATCATCGCATTCACAGTATCTTTTTGTAAAATGTGGCACAAACCAGAATAAGAAGTGTCTTAAACTTGGACAGAGGTTAGAATTTGCAAAGCAAAGTTAGATTGTGCTAAAAATTACATCAAATTTGATATTTTCATATACTGATGTATTTTAATTGCCTAATTTCCAAATAAGACAATTTCCAACTGTTCTACCCCATTGCATGCAAAATAATAATAATAACAAAAGTTATTTTTGTCTGATAAAGTATTGGTTGAATTTGTAAATTGATATTCAGATACATTTCATGCATGAAAATGCATTTCAGTTAGTGAATGTCCAAAGGAAACTGTTCTACTTTCAAATTCAAAATAAAATAATAATGAAAAAATACTGTTTCTAAGTGTCCTATTGTGTGAAATGTGATTAGAATAAATGTCTCAGCTAAGCTACCTTGCTTTAATAAGCTAGAATATGTTGGGCTAGAATACACTGTAATAGGCTGTGATAGTGCCAGATGATGACCGACTCTGTCCTGTTTCTGTTTCTCTTTTTCTCTGAGCAGTACTTTAGCCCCTACGTGTCTGCGGACATGAATAAGATGGCCATGGCCTTTAACACCACGGTGGCGGCTCTGGAGGATGAGCTGACTCAGCTGATACTGGAGGGTCTGATCAACGCTCGCATCGACTCCCACAGCAAGGCACGCACTCTACACCCCCTCACTGCACTTCACTGCTGTTATTGTTTGCTATCTCGTGTCGACCAGAGGAGGATGGGTTCCCCTTTTGAGTCTTGGTTCCTCTCGGTGTTTCTTCCTCTTGCTCTTAGGGAGATTTTCCTGCCACTGTTGCCATTGGCGACGCTCATGGGGGTTTGGACCCAGATTTTTTCTGTAAAGCTGCTTTGTGACAACACCTGTTGTTAAAAACGCCCTATAAATAAACCTTGACTTAGGGGGCTCCCGAGTGGCGCAACCGTCTAAGCATTGGCTCAGTCATCAGGAGATCGCGAGTTCGATCCCTGGTGATACTACAGCCATCCGTGGCTGGGAGTCCAGGAGAGCACAATTGGCCTCGCTCTCTGGGTGGGCAGGATGGCCCCCTTTCTCCCCCATCACTTAACGCGATGATTGGCAGTGCAGATGTAACAGATCTGGCGGTGGGCGCCTTCCTCCGAGCGCGTTCGGCTGTTCAATGACGTTGCGGCAGTTCGAAAAGATGCAGTGGCTGGCTTCATGGAATTGGAGATGACTAAATTGGGGAGAAAATTGGGTAAAAATCCAAAATCTGCTCTGCAAATATTACTCTTTCCCCTAAATAAGTTCCTAAAGGCCTGTGTGTTTAACTGATGATGAATCAGGTGTATTTAAGGAGGTAGAACCCTGAACTCTGCATAGCCATGGCCTGCAGGGACTGAAGTCTGACACACTTAGACTTCCCTCTGACTTTGGCGAACGCTCTGGCATTTAGTTTTTTTTCTTTCACAGTGTGTCTTTCTTTCTTTTTCATCTCACGATTGCTTGCCCCCCCCCTCTTTAACAGAGTCAGTCAGTCAAGGTATTGTCAGTCAGACAACCATGAAATTACTTTGAATCTCCTGGCAGTTACATTAACATACATGGGGTGGGGGGGGCACAAAAGTCTGAGACCACATTAAATAAACTAAAGGAATTTTTTCTTTTCACCTGGAAATAAATTTTAAAACAAAGAAAAGTTAGATAGGTAGGAAACTGAAGAACAAGTATTTAAGCAAATTTGTGAAATTGATCTGTGTAAAGTCCATTACACAAAAAGGGCTGATTTGTTTTTGAGCCTCATCTCTTCCAGTGAAGCTCGTGTTCAGATGGATTTAATCTGCTCATCAGAGACCTTTTCACAAACTTGTGGAGTCCGACCCAAGTGCAAGCTGGGCTAAAGCAAAAGAGGACACACCACCAATTCATGTTAAAATTTCAAACATTCTCATTTTTACTCAAATTCTTATGCTGAATATGCTGAACATATAATTTGTAATGAAAAACTTTGCATTTTATTAGAAAATCATGCAAAATAGAAGCATTTTCATTGTTGCTTCTGTTTCATTTTCAAAGTATATAAAATGCAAAAAGCAAAAGAAAAACACATTCACACATGCTGGTACCTTCATAGGAGGTAAGATTTTAACATCTTAGAAACAAGATTTCATTTTTTTTTACTAAGTAATTGTGGACCATTTCTTCAGAGAGGGTTGGTGTGAAATGGTTCAGATGTCTTTACAGTGGTGGTGATAGGAACCAGGGGTCGCCATGACTACAACACAAATATAGACATTTTATTTACTATCCAGAACCACCAGTGAACCTACACGAGTCTTCTGAGTTTATATGGAATGTTGATGATGGAAAACAGTGGAAAATCTGAATGGATTTACAGAATACACTTTAGACCAAAATCTTTGCTTTCTATGAGGGAGCTTTTAGAGGTGGATGTCTGGTTCCTATCACCACCACTGTGAACAGTTCTGACTCGGTCAGTTTCTCTAGAACAGAGTGTTTCACACCAAACCACTCTGAACGACTCTGTTTACGTCTTAACCATTTAATTATTCAGAAATCTAATTGTAGTTACTTTTATTGTCAGGATAGCTCAGGGGTCGGTAACGCGCGGCTCTTTTACTGCCCTATATATATATAGATATATAGATACATATATATCTGCTGACTGTGCTCGTCTCTCCGCTCTGTGTGTGTGAATGCAGATCCTGTATGCTCGTGACGTTGATCAGAGGAGCACGACGTTTGAGAAATCTCTACAGATGGGGAAGGAGTTCCAGAGACGAGCCAAAGCCATGATCCTGCGGGCGGCCGTGCTGCGTAACCAGATACACGTCAAGGTAACGGGGTCGCCAGGGTAACGTGTCTCCTCACTCTGCTCTGCCTGCTTCCCCCTCACCTCACCCCCCATGTCCTAAACATCTCCCACCCTCTGTCCCTTCCAAGGGTGAGCGATATGATTATCGCTATACAGTTTATTCGCCTGTAAACACCCAATATACAGTAACTGCATAGTAAGAAGTAGCTGATTTGATGGCAGGTTATTATGCCATTTATTGTATTTAATGAATTTAGTACTACTTAATAGCTTGTTTCTCATTTCTTCTTATAGCTTGTCATTTTTAAATGCACTGCGGTTCTGTTGGTGTGTTTTGTCCACAAACTGTAGAAAAACAGAATATCATGATGCACAGTGCGCACTGTAAAACGGTCTTCAAGCATTGGGATGTTTGGGTTTGTTTTTGTTTTTTTGCTATATCGCTCACCCAAAATCCCCTGCACTCATCTCTGCCCGTCCTTTATTCTCCCTTTCCTCCTTCGTCAGCATTAGCCTTAACATTACCCCTTATTTTGGCATATTCCCTTCATCAGTATTACTGCTGTTGTTAATATTAAGCCACCATCATTCAGGCCTTTTTAAGCCTTGTAGGAAATACTGTGTCCTGAGATGAGAGGGACTAAGTGCATTAGTGTTACTACTATTTAGGGTTCCAGCGAATGATTATTTCTGTTACTGACTGATCTGTTGATTATTATTAAACGACTACATTAGTAAACTAGTCTAACTCCTCTGCCTTATTGTTAGAATAGCTGACTCTTTGTCAGCGCCACCATTCACAGTTCTGTCTATGCAACAAGTGATTTCTTCTTTTATGGTGCAGCAAATAGGAGCCGTACACTTTCTTATAGTGTGTTACAGTCTGTTAGAATAACTCTGTGAATCCTATGAACTTTAGTCAACTTTTATTAACCTTTAAAAAAGGGGAATTCCACCAATTTTTCTAAATTTCTGCATAATTCAGTGTTTGAGATGTAAACAGAGAGATTCAGAGTGTTTTGGTGTGAAATGGTTCAGATTTCTTTACAGTGGTGGTGACAGGAACCAGGGGTCGGGTTCATGAAAGTGTCTTAATGAAAATCTTCTTAAATGTGTTTTTTTTCTCAACTTTATTCTTAAGAAAAAAGTCACGAAATGTTATTCTTCATATAACTTCTTAAGAATTCTCTTCTTAAGAAAATAGTTAAGAATAATTGTAAGTAAGTGTTATTCGTGAAAATAGTATGTTCTTGTTTTCGTAACCGTACGACAGACTCTCACTCCTATTAGGCTGTAAGAGTTGATGAGATCCTCGTCTCTTGCCTTGCACAGTCACCCCACAGTTATTGTACAGGGTGTCCCAAAAAAATTGACATCATTTGAGATGTGAATATCTGAGTAACTACATGTCCTGGCAAACGAAATTAAACAGGCTTCATGTTGAACAATACAAGATTTATTTATCAAAATTCGAACAAGAAGTTCAGAGGGATGTAGATTTTATAACCGATTTCACAGCTTCACAGATGTTCAATATGCGCACTGCCTGTGACGCGACACACGTCAAGTCGGTAGTCCAGCTCCTGCCAAACGCTGCAGCATGTCTTGCGTCTCCAAATGGTGCATTTTTATTGGATTTTCTCGAAAATGCACACTGCACACTCTTGTTTGACTGTGTTTGAGCATATTCTAACAAACAAAATGCCTTTTCATTTCTAGTGAACGCCGTTCTTCAACCTGAAAAACATTAAAAATTAAACTTGGTTAGTTTTTACACATTTTGTTAAAATTTGAGATCATTTGAGGGAGAATTGGCTGTTATTAGACTATGAAATGAGGTCACTTTGTTTGGGACACGCTGTATTTTCTAAGGAGAATTGGCTGTTTCTTCCTCCATCACCTTTAGATTTTGTTTGCTAAATTTTTTTTAACACTTGTTTAGATGTTTTCTCATTTTGCTCCTCTCAGTGGACTAAACTAAATCACGGAAATAACAGTTAATACAAATTCAGCATGTTTCCTGCGTCATTTAGGGTACATGGTAAAATGCAATGCAGCTGACATTAGAAAACAATAATTTTTTAAAGAAAATCTTAAGGAACTAATTAAGATTATTGTAAGAGAATATTTGAGAACTTGTGACTTTTTTTTTTTAAGAATAGCTTTTAAGAACATTCTTATGAAACAAACTTAGTCTTAAGAACTTTCGCAAGTTTTTTTTCTTGAACTTTTTGTGAATCTGGTCCTAGGGGTCGCCATGACTACAACACAGTTATAGCCATTTTATTCGCTATCCAGAACCACCAGTGAACCTACACGAGTCTTCTGAGTTTATATGGAATGTTGATGATGGAAAATAGTGGAAAATCTGAAATAATAAGTTTTCTTTGGGGACTATTTTGAGACATTTTAGGCCAAAATCTTCTTAAAACTATCATAAAACAGTGTCTCAGTCATCAGCAGTGAATTCATAACCATTTCATGTAGGAACTTTCTGTGAGGGAGCTTTTAGAGGTGGACGTCTGGTTCCTATCACCACCACTGTGAACAGTTCTGACTCTGTAAGATTATCTAGAACAGAGCGTTTCACACCAAACCACTCTGTTTACATCTTAACCAGTTAATTATGCAGAGAAATTTTAAAAGTTGGTGGAGTTTCCCTTTAATAAATGCGGACTGTTTTTACATACATCACACTTAGTTTGTTGGCCCATCATTTTCAGTTCCATTCATGCTCGTCCATCTCATCAGACACTAAAAACCTTAATCTGAGTTGATGAAGGTCTCTGTGCTTTCTGTGCTGCTCACTGTGCTCGTCTCTTCGCCCCCACAGTCCCCTCCCAGAGAAGGCAGCCAAGGGGAACTCACACCTGCCAACAGCCAAACACGAATGAGCACCAACATGTGAAGACTCGACCCGATGCCTCTCGTAGGAAAGTACACACACACACCAGGGGGCCGCAGCAGCATCACCGGCCCCCCCGTTAGAATTCAGTTCTGTTTCCCTGCTGAAGAGAGAAAAATCACAATCTAAAGACTTTATTTAAGTTGGGAAGAAGATGTCTGTTGTCTGTATTAAAGACAAGCACACCCTGTTGCTCAAGTTAAACAGAAATATATGGAAAAAAAGAAGAAAAAAAAAGAAAAACGAGAAAAAAGACGGGAAAAAAAGAGAAACGGCATTTACGCTGTACTGGCCTGTTGTTGTTTGTAAGAGATGCACTTTCCTCTGTATCTTGTGACAAACCTTGATTACACATTGAAAAACCTCATCACAGAACATGCTTTTAAAATAAATATACATTGGAAAAGATGCTCCCAAAACGCCTTCGTTTTTCACTGCTCTTCTTTTCAGATTCAGGCGTGAGCTTTAGGGTTGAAGGCTTAGAAGTGAAATTCTTGTTTTATTTCTCTATGATTTGAATCTGTTTCAGTATCGTCTAAGGGGCGACCGACCGACTGAGTGCTTTAAAAAGTCAAAATTTGTCTAAAAATTATTTTCTACAAATGAAATGCCTCAATTTGTCTTATTTTAATCTATGCAGTCTTAGATTTTAGCATATAAACAAATGTTTTGCTGTTTTTTTGTTTTGGTGGTGCAGGTGCATGTATAAAGGGGAATTCCACCAATTTTTCAAAATTCCTCCATAACTCAGTGTTTGTGGTGTAAACATAGATTCAGAGTGGTTTGGTGTGAAATGGTTCAGATGTCTTTACAGTGGTGCTGATAGGAACCAGGGGTCGCCATGACTACAACACAAATATAAACATTTTATTTACTATCCAGAACCACCAGTGAACCTACACGAGTCTTCTGAGTTTATATGGAATGTTGATGATGGAAAATAGTGGAAAATCTGAAATAATAAGTTTGTTTGGGGACTATTTTGCCTCACAGCGCCCTGCATGTATCCCTCCACCATGAATGGAGTTTAAGTTCTCTCAACTCTCATAAAACAGTGTCTCAGTCATCAGGCAGTGAATTCAGAACCATTTCATGTAGTAACTTTCTGTGAGGGAGCTTTTAGAGGTGGATGTGTGATTAATAATAATAATAATAATTCGTTTCATTATTTTCCCATTGCTCTTTATCCCTTAGAATTAAACAGGCTGTTTTTGTTACTGTGTGTTTAAGACTGATATATGTAACCGAGCTCTGTTCTGATTGGCTGTCCTGTATCAATCAAACTCAATCAAAAAGCACTCGAGCTGAAACACTCCTTATAACTTCAGTGTGAGTGGGCGGAGCTAAACTGCTGTAGACTGAAGAGGTCAATGTATGTAAATGAGATGGTTCTTGTGACATCACAGAAAGAGTGAATTCAAAACGGACTGTTTTTGCAGTTCGGTTTCCATATATGGACAGTTTACATTACTTCAAAGGGTTGGAAAGGGTTTTTATACTTTATCACTATGATTTTGAGCTAATTTCTAAAAATTGAAAAACATAATTACCAATATTTGATGATCTGAATTAAAAATGTTTCTGAATTAAAAAAAAAAATTCAGATTATTTCAGTTTCCCTGCTTTGAAAACATGTGAAACTCACCTGATTACCCAAAGAAAACAAACTGCGTTTGAGAAACCATTTATTTGGAGAGATTCAAACAGATCACAGCAGTTTTAAAAACGTTTTTATTCCTTGTAAAAACCCCTTAAACATTAAAAACACGCTTAAATAAAAGAACCCACTCCTGATTTATGAACAACGCCATTAGCTCAGACTAACAGTCCTGATTTTGAACAGGATTCTCTCACTCTATTATGCAAACCTACAGTGATGTTGGGGAAGAAACACTAGATTTATGGTTATCAATCTGGCTTCTGAGGCTAAATTGCCTTAATTTGTGCTCAGCTTATTAACCAATAAACCCAGCACTGTAATAACCCCTGGTTTTCTCACCGCACCCCTACAGCGGTTCGGCTCACTGTACGTTCGACAGAAGAGGATGAAACGTGACTTTGGTATGAGATCGACCCACGAATGATGTGATTTGTCCCCAGCGGTGGCTGATTCAGGGAAGGAAACACGATGTAAATAAATAATGTTTAAAAAAGCGAAGCAGAACCTCAGGGTGTATTTCACCAAGCAGAGTTTTCTCAGGAAACTCGGAAGAACTCGGCCCATTGGTTTCTATTGCATGTTTTGAATGAGGGTTAAAAGTTCAGGAAACACATTAAAAGCACTGCCTAGTATTTGGCCGTATGATCAGATTCAGCAGATGGAGATCAGGCTGAAAAACGCTGGCGTGTCTCTTTAAGCCCAAAGTCTGCAATCTTAGCAAAAGGGTTTGTTGGCTTGTATCAATAGTGGAACCCTTTTTGGTGCTATACAGAACCATCTACAGCACATTCTCCATCAATCCAAAGAACCATTTAACGATGCAAAGAACCGTTTAACCGTGCAAAGGGCTCTTTGAGTGTTCACTGTTCTATACAAAACCGTTTTCTTAACTAAAGAACCCTTGAAGAACCATCTTTTTTAAGAAATAACGGTTGATGAGATCAGTGAGATTTCTGTTAGTCCTCACTTTGGGCTTAAATTATCCAGCTGTACTTAAAAAAACACTGCTTTGCAAAATACACCCTAGAGCAGTGGTCCTCCAGTGGGACCCCCAGATGGTATATCCATATGTGTTGGAAATTGGGATCGAGCAAAAATGAGATTCCGGTTGGAGAACCGCTGCCCTGAATAAAGGAGAACACAGAGGAGTTGTACTGTTGAGTTATTAGAGGAGAAGAAGAGTTCAAATAAAAGCTCCACAGACCACACCGTCCTTCACCCAGAGGTCAGCAGCAGCAGAAGGCAGCGGTGGGCACCTGCACCGCTGCCCTAACAGAGCAGAGTGGGAACTACGGCAGCGAAAACCAGCATAAAAGTTCTGTTACTGAGTCAAATGTGCTGGAATTACGTTAATATATCCACTAATATGAGCATCATGTACAAGGAGTTGCCAGTTTAACAGAAACGCCCTGACGCCTTCACTCCAGAGCTGCACGATCTGGGGAAAATACCTAATTGTGATTTTTCTGGCAAATATTGCGACTACAATGTAAAGTGTGATTACAGTCTATAAGGTATAACTTTCAGAGCTGTTTTTTTGGCCAAGAAGTTCAGAATAAGGCTTGAGGCTTAAATGCAGTGAGCCGAAACTGCCAGTCAGTTATGGTTGTGATGTCACAACACATGGAGGTTAGGTTGCCTCTGATTGGGCTACAGGCAGTTCTCAAGTTCTGTGTTATAAGGTTCAACTTCCCCTCTTAAAGCTTAAGACGTTTTTGATAAAGCAGACTGTAATTATTTAAAAACTGCACTCTTAATTAATTTTTCAGACCCACTACACTCACTGGCCATTTTATCAGAAACACCTACCATACAAGTTCAGAATGCTTACTGACTGTACACCATTCATCACTGGTCAGTTTCCACCATCCCAAAACATCCAGCCCAACAGACACTGACCACTGATGGTGGGTGCAGCTACAAAGAGGGTTTCTAAAAATAGTGGCCAGTGGGTGGAACTACAAGGGAGGGGTTTCTGATAGAGACCAGTGGGTGGAGCTACAAGGGAAGGGTTTCTAATAAAATGGCCAGTGGGTGGAGTTACAAGGGAGGTGTTTCTAATGAAGTAGCCAGTGGGTGCTGCTACAACAGAGAGGTTTCTGATAAAGAGGCCAGTAAATGGAGCTACAAGGGAGGGGTTTCTGATAAAGTGGCCTGTGAGTGGAGCCAGAAGGGAGAGTTTCTAATAAAATGGCCAGTGGGTGGAGCTACAAGGGAGGGGTTTCTAATAAAGTGGGTGGAGCTACAAGGGGGCGTTTCTAATAGACTGGCCAGTGAGGGCAACACAGCTGTGTCTGATACACTCGTACCAGCACCACACACATGATCATGTCAGTGTGACTGCTGTACAGGTCACCAGCGGTCCTGTGGTGGGGTCCCTTTCCAGGTGTCGAGAGGGGGCAATAACAGATGGGCTACAGTCTGTAACTGTAAACATACATGTTAAGTATAAGGAGGAACACTTAATAACCTAGAAACAGTGTTTATAGCTGTTCTCGTTGTTGCCATAGTTACCACTCTTTGCCTCCGTAGGGCAGAGTAAAGTCTAGAGCCTCTGGTTTGACTCATTTGTTGCGTTTACAGCGTGTAGAATGAGTTCCTTTTGCACAGTGGATGCTAAAAGTTCCGTTTTAGCTCCCGGATGTCGAGTAGGAACTGCTTAGAACAGTAAATATTCCTTGGGCTTCTTCAGGCCAGAGCCTGGGCTGCAGGCTGATCGGGTACCGTGGCACATGGCTCTGTCTGGACGGAGCTGCTTCCGTTTATCTGTCCGCCGCCCGCTCCGGAGCTCCCCTGCTTCTGGGCCTTGGTTTTGAATCTCAAGCCGTGACCTTGGGACCAGAATTAACAGGTCAATTCAGCGTTCGGTTTAAGCAGCAGGACAGCAGAGGCTGTGTTACGGTTAGTGTCTTCACAGCTGTGACTTTATTCACTATTAACAACCTCAATTTCTGATATTTTTAGATTTTACAGTGCATAGGGAAGATTAAAGGGGAGTTCCAGCGATTTTTCAAAATTCACACATAGTTCAGTTTTTGAGATGTAAACCAAGAGATTCAGGGTGGTTTGGTGTGAAATGCTTCAGATGTCTTTACAGTGGTGCTGATAGGAACCAGGGGTCGCCATGACTACAACACAGATATAGACATTTTATTTACTAACCAGAACCACCAGTGAACCTACACGAGTCTTCTGAGTTTATATGGAATGTTGATGATGGAAAATAGTGGAAAATCTGAAATAATAAGTTTTCTTTGGGGACTATTTTGCCTCACAGCGCCCTGCATGTATCCCTCCACCATGAATGGAATTTAAGTTCTCTAAACTATCATAAAACAGTGTCTCAGTCATCAGGCAGTGCATTCATAACCATTTCATGTAGTAACTTTCTGTGAGGAGCTTTTAGAGGTGGACGTCTGGTTCCTATCACCACCACTGTGAACAGGTCTGACTCTAGTTTATCTAGAACGGAGCGTTTCACACCAAACCACTCTGAACCGCTTAATTATGCAGAAAAAGACAATGAAATTTCCCTTTAACCGATGCCTCCATAATCCATATAGTAGAGCTCGTCACGATACTCACTTGGACAGTCAGCAACTTCCTTGAAGGCCTTTTTCTTACAGCAGCCACGACACAAATTAAAAACGCACTTATTTCCCTGTTAAAGAGAGAAACAGTAGAAATGAGAGGAACACTTTACTGCAGGTCAGAGTTCATGAGGCTGCATATCAACCACATAAAGCTTCATAAACATTTATAAAAGGTTATTCCAGTAAGCAGCAGTTCTGATAAAGGTAATAATTTTGTTGACTTGAGTATCAAGTGATGTTTTACGCTGACATTAAGTGTAATAACACTTTCAGGGGTGAAACGACACAGTTATGTCACGTTACAACAGCTGGCTTTTCAACAGCGTTGTGTCTATTTCACAGCTGTAGGAACTTTCTGTGAGGGAGCTTTTAAAGGTGGACGTCTGGTTCCTATCACCACCACTGCATAAAGAGCTGCATTTCACACGCAGCTCTTTAAATACTACACTGGACATTTTAACCCTGACAAAATTTCTAACCCAAGTCGTTCCCAAAGACGACACAAAATGGCCTGAAACTGTTGACGGAGATTCTGAATAAATAGTCCCTTAATCAGTGATCAAGTAGATTAAATATCGTAATTAATAACCGAATAGGTAGTATTGGCTAATAGAGAATATTAATTCTCTCACAGAGGGAGGCCTTAGTCTGTCTGCATAGGAGGTTCTAGACTCTAGAAAGCCCCTGGGTTCACAGAGAGGCCTGTGTGTACTACTGACCCAGTGAAGAGAGGGGCAAGTTGACCTTAAAGGTAAAGCAGGCTGGAAAAAAACAGTTGAATCCAGTTTTTAGGAGTGAGCTCATCATGCGATGACCAAACTGATGGACGAAGAGATGCACCTATTAGAGAATGAGCTAATATCTTAATCTGAGCAGTAATGTTGGGGGATATCAAACCACCCCAGATAAATGGTATAAACTGGAACACTGTATTTGTGCAGTTGGGTCTCTGAGCCGCCTGATGCTGGAATAAAGAAGGAGCCTTTTTCCCTCTTCCACAAACTCAGCGTCTGAAGACTCTACTTTTTGACATCTTTTAAGAACTTAAAACAGTTATTAGTGAAAGTTTAGCTGGTATTAAAAGATTGCTTTTTACTCATAAAATACTGTTGGAGGCCTGGGGTTGAAGGGGACAGCCTTTGGTCCCGACACTGTCCTGCATCAAAACAGCTTTTCGCTGAGAACTGAATATTACGGATAGAAAAGGAATCACAGAGAGAGAAAGAGTCCAGAAAGAATCCTTTCATTAGACAAACTGTACAAACTGTCCATTTTACTGAAAATCAAATAAAATATCATCGCTGTCCAAAGAAAAACATGTACCCCCATTTTTGCTGATTTTTAGTTTTCTGCATCATCTGAACGCAGTGCCTGTCCTTTATATTGTGTCCAAATTTCATGATGAATGGACCAATAGCAATGCTCTAAAATGACCTTTCCTGTAAAGTCACCCTTCTGGAATCGCTTGTTTTGGCATTACTCTTATGATTTATAACTTAAAACAGAAAAACAGTCACTTTACTGTAAGGTCAAAGAAAACAAACTGTCAGTACTGTCTCATGGCACTGCTATAGGACTTCATAAAGATCTTATAAGCATAAATAGGATACAGAACTCTGTCATAGCACAGTCTCAGTATCACAGCCTTCACAACAGAGCTAGTATTTCAGCGTCAGAGCATCTTTTTAAAGTGCTCACATTAGTTGAGCAACATTATCAGCACCATAAACACACTGAGCTACAGAGCCAGCTGTCATACCATGCTGACCTTTCACCCCAGAAAGTGTTACGACACCTGAAGTCTGCAAAAACAAACAGGTGTTGTGTCAACCTGACACTGTAGTTGACACAAACTGCCTTTCTGAGAACTGCTGCTTACTGGAATAAGCCTTTATAAATGACCACGTAGCTTTCTGTGTCTGTGATGTAGCCTTATGGACACTGACCTGCAGTAAACAGGTCTAATTCATTCCCAGCAGTTTTGTATTTAGAGTAAGAATAATAAAACATGCACATTTTAAAATAACCATTAAAGAGACTTACTTTAGGGTTTCCACACTGCTCACATTTGATGTATTTGGCTGCAGAGCAGAAAGAGAAGAGTTCAGTGTGCATAGCCACTTATAGTCCTTACATACACTCACATAGACACACACACACACACACACACACACACACACACACACACACACACACACGTATACACCAGTGTTGCACCATTCCAATATACAGCGTTTGTACAGTAATATAAGTTATGAAATAAAAAGCCACATATGTACACATTTCCATATACGCAATAAGTAAGTCTGAGGTAGATAGATGAGATGCAGAGTACACAGAAGATAGAATAGGAAAGCTAGTGATGCTCAACATGGCAGGGAAAGTCCCACCATTCAATTAAAATAGCCAATCGGCTAAAGCCACAAGCAGGAAAAGCTCTCAGTGTGGAGATACGCGCACAAATATCAGCCAAAACAACCTGTTATTTGAGCCAAACATTACAACCAACTTATGTGCATCAGATTTTACCAGATTTTGAAAAATGTGGTTTTCGGTTTCAGGTTTTTAGGTCTCTGTCCATTCAGAGACAGCAGGCTGGTCTCGTATGAGTGGAAATGACCACCTGGGAAAAAACTCAGAGTGGACAGACTTTCCTATAGGGACTCTGGACTATAGACAGGCTTATTGCCTCTTCTTTGAGCTCCGCCTTCAAGAGATGCTGTATACTTATACACTGTAGCTCAGGGGTCTCTAATCTTCTCCACAAAGGGCCGCTGTGGCTGCAGGAGCAAAGACAGTCAGAGGTGCTCCAGTGAGCCACGCCGGCCCTCTGCGGAGATGATTAGAGTGGACACCGTCCCTGCTGTAGCTGTTTTATAGCCGCTGTGTCACTTAGCCGTCAAACACTCACGTTTCAGCTCAGGACAGAAGTTCTTGTGGGGGTTCCTGGCTTTCTTCTTCTGCTTGTTTTTGGACAGCGAGTCGTTTGGGCCATCGCTGTCCTCCAGCGCCCTCTTCATGCTTACGGCCTTCACCTCCGGAGCTTTCTGACCGTTCTCCCGGCCCGGATCCTTCGGCCTGCAAAAACAGCAGCCGGTCAGTTCTGGCTCTAAGTGCGAACTCAGGTTTGGAGAGTTTTACAACGAAACATCGCCGCTGTTGATTCTTCCACCTCGTATCTCTGAAATGAAACTTCACTGGGAAAAAATGTTTTTACCTTTGCGTGAAAAATAATGGAACAAGTTTTTCAATTCTGCTTTAAAAAAGGCAAAAATGGAGAAACAAGGTTTTGATCCAACAGTGATGATATATTAAAATAAGCAGAACTACTCTTCTCTCTCTTCTGATAACAACATAAAACTACTATTACATAATAAACAATTATGCTTCTAAAATCTGATTGGTCAAGCCAAGTTTGAAGCTGCTGTAAAAATAAATAAAATTATTTATCTAATTAATTAATTAATTAATTAAAAGGTTATTTTACTAAAGTAAAAAAATAAGGGGAAAAAAATAAAAACTAGTAAAAAATGCAATAAATAAATAACAGAAAAGGGGATATATTAATAATATTTAAAATAAAATTTAAAATACACAAGATAAACACTACATAAAAAACAACTAACAAGGAGGTAATAGTGATATTCCAGTCAAAACAAAGGAAAAAAATAGTTAAATGCTAAAGTAAAGAAATGTTTCTACTTAGTATGAACACTAACACTTCAATAAATCACTGTCATTGTTAATAATAATAATAATAATAATAATATAAACTATTGATAAAAATAATAACAACTAGCCCCAGTCCTGATGAGCATCCTAATGCTAAGGTGGTCTTCACTATTAGAGTTAGCAGTGTCTGAACTGATGCTCCTCCTGTGTAATGAAGCTCTGAACTAAACTCACTCAGCTGTGTCTGTTTGGGAGTAAAAACAGAGAGTTCACTAACGCAGGTCTGACGTAGGGCTGGCAGATCCAGTGAGGGAGGGGCAGTCCGGTGTGATGTCTGTCCGACTCCTCCTTGGCCATTTCCTCCTGAAACCACACAGTACAGTACAGTCATCACTGTCACTGCATCACAGTCATCACTGTCACTACATCACAGTCATCACTGTCGCTACATCACAGTCATCACAGTCGCTACATCACAGTCATCACTGTCGCTACATCACAGTCGTCACTGTCGCTACATCACAGTCATCACTGTCGCTACATCACAGTCATCAGTCACTACATCACAGTCATCACTGTCGCTACATCACAGTCATCACAGTCGCTACATCACAGTCATCACAGTCGCTACATCACAGTCATCACTGTCGCTACATCACAGTCATCACTGTCGCTACATCACAGTCATCACAGTCGCTACATCACAGTCATCACTGTCGCTACATCACAGTCATCACTGTCGCTACATCACAGTCGTCACTGTCACTACATCAGTCATCACTGTCACTACATCAGTCGTCACTGTCACTACATCAGTCGTCACTGTCGCTACACCACATTCATCACTGTCACTGCATCACAGTCATAATTGTCACCAGTCATCACAGTCGCCACTGTCACTACATCAGTCATCACTGTCGCTACATCACAGTCACCACAGTCAGTACATCACAGTTGTCACCGTCGCTACAGTCATTACTGTCGCTACATCACAGTCACCAGTCACTACATCGCAGTCATTACTGTCACTACAGTCACCACATCACAGTCGTTACTGTCACTACATCACAGTCATCAGTCACTACATCATAGTCATCTCTGTCACTACATCACAGTCACCACAGTCACTACATCACAGTCATTACTGTCACTACATCACAGTCACTACATCACAGTCATCACTGTCACTGTATCAGTCATTACTGTCGCTACATCGCAGTCATTATTGTCACTACATCACAGTCATCACTGTCACTACATCACAGTCATTATTGTCACTACATCACAGTCACTACATCAGTCACCACAGTCACTACATCAGTCACCACAGTCATCAGTCACATCACAGTCATCACTGTCACTACATCACAGTCATCACTGTCGCTACATCGCAGTCACCACAGTCACTACATCACAGTCACTACATCAGTCATCACTGTCGCTACATCGCAGTCACCACAGTCACTACATCACAGTCATCACTGTCACTACATCAGTCATCCCTGTCACTACATCACAGTCACTACGTCAGTCATCACTGTCACTGCATCACAGTCATCACTGTCACTGCATCACAGTCATCAGTCACTACATCAGTCATCACTGTCACTACATCACAGTCATCAGTCACTACATCAGTCATCACTGTCACTACAGTCAAAGCACCTTAAAGCTGTGCATTAACCCTCTGTAGGGGGTTAATTAATCTAACAGACAGACTGCGGAATGTTAGAACTGCCTGAAGTCGATGTTTTCTGACCAAATAAAAATTGTTTGATCGATTTCAAACTTTAAAAAGTGTTTTTTCATTCTTTACTTTTGTCTACTGTGTAAACAGTTACTCCAGAAAATTACATAATAATATAAAGCTCTAATGTCATGGAGAGCTGAATCCTCCTCACCGTTTTGAGTTTGCTGCATTAAATAAGCATTGTTAAAAATATCAAAACATAGCATGTCCATATAGTCCAAGCAGCTCAAACAGCCCGTTTTTAATTCACAGTTTTTGTGATGTCACAAAAAACCAACTAATTTACATATATATCCACATATTCAGCCTATAGCAGTTTAGCTCCGCCCACTCACACTGAAGTTATAAGGAGTGTTTCAGCCCCAACTGCCTTGTAAATGAGGCACAATACAGGCCAGCCAATCATAACAGAGCTCATTTACATATATCAGTCTTAAAGGTACAGTAACAAAAACAGCCTGTTTAGTTCTAAGACATTAATTCTGTATGTTTTCGGTACATAAACCCAGACAAATGTTAAGTGAACTGAAAACTAAAATATGCTCATTTAAGATGTAACGATGTTCTGAATGATCTAAAGAATGACAGCTGTAATAAGACGGACGATGCCGAGTCCAGACGCTGTGGGCAGTGTAGTGGATCTCTCCTCCTGTGTGTACCTGGCAGCGCTGCTTCAGCTGTCTGTTCACCTCCTCTATTCCCGCCAGGTTTTTGGCTTTGGCCAGCTCTTCCCTCAGGTCCTGATGGATCTGCAGCCTAATGATAGATAAAATAGATAATAGATTAAAAAACATGCTGATCATACTGACTGAATTAAGAAGCATCTGTGTGGTAAATATTTACTGGCACTTTACTGTATTTACTGTAAATAATATAATGTAAATAAATAGAAGAATAAACGCCTGTATCTGATTACGTTCCCTATCGGAAAGTTTAAGTCCGTTCTGATCATGTTTGTCGCACCATAGTGAAAGTTTATACCGTTCAACATGGCGGAGCAGAAACTGGTCTGCAGAGGAGACGAAGTTTCTGCTCTGGTCTTTAAAAGACGGCGGTGGGACGGACGTCCAGCTTATGTGTCTCAGAACACGACGTCTTCCTCTCGCCCTTCTTTAATAAGGACATGTGAAGGACGTTTTCCTGAGTCTGACATCATTTTAAAGCAGTTAAAAACACAAGCACTGCTCACTGCTGCTCATCTTACTGTGACTGGACTCACGTGATGCTGGTTGTCATGGTAACATCTACACTAAGCGGTTCTCTACACGCGCGTCACTTTGGATCTGATTACTTGTAGTGAGCATGTAAACGGAGATTTTCTATCAGAATGTTGAGTAGAGTGAGAATAAACACCTCAGTCTTCATCTGTAATCAGACTATGTTCAATTAGTTTGGAGAAAATCTTAGATTTAATAGAAATATTAGATTTATTGGCTATATTCAAAATATTTTTACTTCTCAAGAGACCATTTCTTGCAGTGTAGCGTCCGTATTCAAGGCTGAACTGCGTCCGTATTTTTAATAGCGTACTCTCACTTTTACTGCATTAAGTCGTATTACATCAGAGCTGACTGTAAACTCTGGAGAACGTCAGAAGAACTATAAGAAGACCTTCCTCCAGCATCAGGTTGGATCAGTTAACCTGAGAGGGACGTACGTGTGGTGCCAGAGTTTAAAGAGGTGAGCTCGGACGTAGGACAGCGTGCAGGGCGGGTGTTTCTGAACCACCTCCAGATATTCCTCAGCCATCTCCCACACAGGAGGACTGCGGCCCTCAAACAGCGCCGGGTTGTGCAGGTTCCCTTCTGAGCTCCCAAAAACACAAAGAAACAAAGAGGTTTTATATTAGGGCTGTTAGTCTATGAGCTCCCAACTAGTGATGCACTGAAACAGACATTCCTGGCTGAAAAAGAAACTGAAGTTCGGGACACACTGACACAAAAAAATGACAGCTGACAATAGATAAAAATGTAATATAGAGAAAATAAACTTAAATTATTAAAAATAAACTTAAAATTTTATAAATAAACTAAAATTATTACAGTATGTGGGCTGCGGGACGTGCCAAGGACTTCAACATTCTCAACAACAAAGGACAGCTGGTCATTCAAGGCAATAAATCCCTTTATTTTTAATAAGACTAAGATTCTGATTCAAATTTTCTGTTCCACCTTAAATGCCAGAATGTAACTGCTGCACGATTTAAGGTGGAACGGAAACAGAGGTTTACCTGCACTCATCACTCCCTGAACTCCAGTCTCCTCCATACAGCGCTGCACGTCGCTCAGATGCTGGATGTTTCCGTTGGCGAAAACGGGGATGTTTACAGCCTCCCTACAGAACGGGAACAGAGAACCACTTAGAACAGATACAGAACTGAAGGGATATGTGTTATTTTTTGTGGCATCACAAAAACAGTGAATTCAAGACAGCCTAGTTTCCATATACGGACCATTTAGACCAGGAAAGCTTATGTTTACTTATGTTGGCACCCATTAAAGGGGCAGTCCAGCCAAAACTAGAGTTTAATGTTCTTTGTGTTGAGCAGTATTCTTCACAGCCTCACTTCGTTCATCAATGTTCTCTGACTACAGTACCCAGCATGCATTACACAGATACATCAGGGATCCCTGTGGAGTCACCCAATCCTGAATGCTAGCCTAGCCGCTGGGCTACAGGCTAATAAATACAGCCAAGCCAGCGCAAAAAAACAGTGATTCTGTCTTTATTCAGTTTTTGTTTTATATTTCAGTCAGAGAACAGGAGAACAACTGAGGTCATGATTAAATGGTTCTTTGCATGGCAAAATGGTTTATTTTGATGGAGAATGTGTTGTTTATGGTTCTATACAGCACAAAAAGGGTTCTGCTGTTGTTACGATGCCAAGGTTGTAACAGTAGTAGAACCATTTTTGGTGCTACATGGAGCCATAAACAACACGTTCTCCATCAAAATGAATCACTTCGCCATGCAAAGAACCATTTAAGCATGAAACAGTCCTTTATAGGACTCATGGTTCTAAATAGAACCCTTGCCTGTTCTAAAGGACCCCTGAAGAACCATCTATTTTAAGTGTGCAGCTAATGAAAAAATTTCCAAAGCAGTTGTACCTTTAAGATACATCAGTAGGGTTTTTTCCCCCGTTTTTAAATGAGAGTCTTATTCTAGATACTATTGCAGCGCTGCTGTAAGAGGAGAGCAGGAATGCAGCGTTGCCAACATTTCTCATTTTAACTGGAGTTTCCCTTTGAAGTCTTTTTTCTTTTTTAAAAGCAAGGCACATTCCACAATACAAGCACTTTAGATGATAGAAGCTCTTACCGTACAGCTTTAATGTGCTCCCAACTCGCAACACCAGTCAGAGCCCCTTTCTGATCTTTGGTTCTGCCGTGAACTGTGAGCAGCTGAGACGGAGGGAGAGGAGGACAAACTAAACCCACAGCCACAAATACAGGATTCAAAAAGCAGTGGATTAATCAGGGCCTACCTGGCAACCCGCCTTTTCTAGCATCTTGGCGTATTTCACCGTTTTCTCCACCTCGGGGAAGACCCGGATTTTGCATGTGACCGGCACTGACAGTTTCTCATTGGCTAGCTTAACTGTGGACGGCAGAAGTTACTGTGTGTTATTATTATTTTTTTCAAGTTATTTATCAGAATCGGGTTTATTTCTCTAACAATCTGTCTTGGTGAGCGCACACATTTAATATAACACACTAAAGTGGACAATTAGACAAAACTGCTACACATTCAAGAGAAAATATGACATAAGAGAAAAATAAAATAGAAAATAAAAGGAAGGGAGAAAATGGTGTAAAGAATATGTACATACAGTCATACGCAAAAGTTAAATGTCATGTGCTACCATAACTTTTGACAGGACTCATTTTATATTTCATTATTTTCCCCAATGTGTTAAATCCAGCAAATTAGCAGTAATTGTGTATTAAAATATGCAGTATTGAGTCTCTGTAGAGGATGTGTAACTTATTTACACTACATGGAATTTGAGCTGGGGCGCACAAACCTTTGCACATGACTGCACATTTACAGTCTGAAAGTTATATTATTTCCAATATAATATAAATTATGCAACAGTTGGTTCTGTCCACGCGAGCTGATTGGTTGGGAACGGTTCTAACTGTGCTGTTATTTCACCATAACATCACAGGTTTTTCACAAACGCTATCACTCCGCTGCTAAGCAACGACTTTGACAGCTGTAGGAGACGCTCAAGACATTTGAACGTTTTTACTTCTTACTTTGCCACAAACAGAAAATGGACACTTTTACGATCACATTTGACCGACAGCCGATTTGGTCAGACTCTGAAGATGAGACCACACTAAATTCCCAAACTTTCAACAGCTAAACAACCTGGAATCAGCCAGAAATGAACCCAACACCATTTGCCAAACTAACTGGGCTGTAAGATGCTTTACAGACTGGCTGGAACAAAACAACATTAATACTGATCTGGAAAAAATGACAAAACTGAGCTGAACTTGATATTGCGGCAGTTTTATGCCTCAGTCTGATTTGGTCAGACTCTGAAGATCAGACTACACGTTTGGTGAATTGTGTTGGGTTCATTTCTGGCTGATTCCAGGTTGTTTAGCTGTTCTTCTGTCTCAGCTGTCGACTGAAAAGCTGCTCAGTGGTGATGACAGTTTAGGAATTTAGTGTGAGGAGCTGGAGAACGAACTGCCGGCTGTGCAGCGAGTGGGCGGAGCTCGTTACTCTGACGTAGCAACAAGCTGCTCGTTAAGGAACTATAATTTGGTGAAGGAACTGCGAACATTAAAACATATTAAACGCCGCGTTCACGGCCCAGTTTATTAATTTATTACTTTATTTATTTAACTGTTGTATTAAAGCAGTAGAACACTCGAGGAGTGTGTTATCGCCAATAACATCACGGCTGTGATGATCTACGGCGACCAAATCACAGCCGTGATGTTATTTTGCAATAACTCACTCCCTCTCGGGTTCTATTGCTTAAATATCACATGCACACATTAGTACAGTGGCACATTACAGTAAGGAGCTGTAAACGTACTCATCCTCTCCAGCAGCTCCCACTCGTCCTGCAGGTACACCCCGTAGTGCCCTTAAAGAAGAACACAGAGAACATCAGCGGCTCCGTCAGCACGAATTCTGAATTCTGCGTATTTCATCACCGAACGTTTCAGTCTGTGAAATTCTGTTTCAGCTCCACAGCTCAGTTTAGAGTTTTAGTCTAGCGCAGCCGACTCAGTTCAGCCCTTTATCTGCTTTGGCCCACGTTCATGAGCCTTCAGGTGCGCCAGCTCATATAGCCCAGGCCAACAGGCAGTTTCTATGGCAACACCTTCTCCTAAGGCTGGAGAAACTTTTATGCAACTAGTTGCATGTTGCGAGCTGCCTGCAACACAACTTCTGTGCAACTTGACAGCTACGTTAAGCAATTCACACATTCAGTTATGGCACCAGCAAATCCAAATTAGCAGCTCATATTTTGGACTCATCGTTTTCACTATAAAGTCATCCATGAGGTATTATTTACATATTTGCTGCAGTTTTTATTAACTGGATACACAGTTTTTCCAGCTGTTACTGCCATTCTGCTACCATACGTGCTGAGTTTTAGCGGTGTGTTTTAAATCTCTTGTGTTAGGAATGCATTTAAGTATTTTACCACCACATTTACACTAACTCTGTTTATCGGATTTGTAATAATAACACATTTTATTTATATAGCACACTTTATCACTACATCATCTTAAGGTGCTGTACAGAAAAAGAAACAAAACAAAAATTCTTAAAAACACATCTACAAAGTAAAGTCTTAAAATTTTACTTAGAAAAGATCCAGCATTTCATAGAACAAAACAAAATTCCACAAAGCACACCTAAAAAAAGAGAAGTCTTAAGATTCTTCTGATAAAGATCCAGTTTCTAAAACAAAGCAAAATCACTTCATGAAAACAGGTCTAAAAGAAAAGGTCTTAAGATTTTTCTTAAGAGACACAGAATTACTTAAAACAAAAATTAATTTATAAAAGCACATCTAAAATGAAAAGTCTTTCATTTGTAAAAGAGATAAAGATCCAGAATTTCTTAGAGACTCGGGGAGCTCGTTCCATAATCATGGGCTCAGTACACTAAAAGCTCACTAACCCACAGAGCAGAACTCTGAACACGGAACTACGAGCAGATAGGAGGATCCAGAGTCTGAGGACCCTGCAGATATACTGGAGCTCAGGCATGTAAACATTTATAAACCAAAGGTAAAATTTTTGAAATTGAAGTTGTCTCTCTTATGTTATGGGCGTGTTTTGGTCTGATAGATTTTTTATCTATCAGACCAATGTTTTATAAGGGGCTGCAGCTCTTGTGCTGGGTGTGCTAATGTTTGGTGTTTTTCCTCACTCTGTTCACAGGAGACTCTGTGTTTTGTGTTAGGGTTGTTCATGTTTGGTAAATCTGACCATCACACTCCCCGACTTCAGCTCTCAAGAGCTGCTTGATTATTTGTAACACTTGGTATTTCAAACAGGTAAGATGGGCAGACCACGCAGGAGTCTGCTCTGTCTAGTTCCTCAGGGTCAGAGACGCGGGACCGTCCCCTGATCGTTGGTCAGGGAGGTTCAGTGTCGTTAGCTTTTGGTTTAGTATTTGTTTCTGCAGTTCTTTGTTTCAGAGCATGTCCCACAGTAGGTACTGATCCAATAGTGCCCTGTGACAAAACGTGGGGTCATAAGAACATGTCACAGATATAACTGACCTCTTTTAGCGATCATCTGAGGACACCCCAAGTTCAGGTCGATGGCGTCGCAGTAGTCCTGGGCGAGCAGAGCTGCCTGAACAAAGACTTCTGGGTCGTTGGCACAGAACTGTGAACAGAGACGCACAAAAAAAAACACATTAGCAAAAAACTCTCAGTGCAATAAATACCAGAGTCACACACAAGCTCTCAGAATTAGTAGCTAATTCTAATGTTTTCAGCATGTATGCTGGCCAAATGAGTTTTTTGCTCGACAATTGTTTGAGTACTGACCCCTCAGTCAAATAAATGTTATTTTGCTATTAAGTAAACACAGCTAACCAGTAAGGAGGCTAATCAGCCAATTTGCCCACTAGAGCAATGCTTACATACTACATCAAATTATTTTATTACAAAATAAATAAATAAATTAAAATTAAAGGGCTAATAAGATTTTTATATGGCTGATATGATCAGAACATGCTGGGTGGGATATGGGAGACAATGAAAGAATGAATGGTATCCAGCCCTGTAACAGTCCCGTAAATCCTTTATATACATCACTTTGAAGATTAATAGATTTTAAAGAAGAAATATCGGCTCAGTCAGTTTCAATATCAGCACTGGAAAAGAAAAAGTGTTAGATATCACACCATCTCTAACTCTTATTGTTATTATTATAATTTGGGGTGGGCGATATGGCAAAAATATAATATTACGATGCTTCAGAAATTTTCACAATACATGATATGTCATAGTATTTATTTTTTCATACATCTAATCAGCTGGAACAGAGAAAAAAGAACCTACATTTTTTTAAAAATACTAAAAACTGTGAACACAATAATCTTTATTCAATATTTGGCACTAAATCCGTTTAAACAAGACTAATTTTGCTCTCTTTATAATGAAAGATGCAGTGGGACAATGTTCTACAAGTACTGACGACATACACTATATGTTTCACACTGTATTGTGACATAAATTACCATGATAGTGATATAAATTGTCATATTGCCCAGCCCTCATTATAATAGCACAGAATATCATGAGATCATATTAACACTGTCAAAATTATTGTGATATAAAGGTCCAGCTCCTATCGTCCACTCCCAGCTGTGATTCTGACCTGTGTAATGAGCGGCCGGTCCTCCGGGCTGACTTCGTTGTAAAGGTTTTCTCGGCGGTAGTTGGTGTCTCTCAGGAACACCTGGGCGTGCAGCATGGGCGTGTAGCAGAGCTGAGCGCCGTGTCTGCGGCTCAGCAGCCTCCAGGCCAGCTCGCTCTGCTCCACCATGGGCGCGAGGACGTACCGCGCAGACTGCAGAGTCTCCCTCCAAAACTCGAAACCCTGCAGCTTCTCCATGATGCCGCCTGCTGCACAGAACACGGACAGCGTTAAAGGGACAGTCTGAGCTTTTTCCTCACACACATTCAGTCACAGACCACCCCTTTATTCATTTATTTCCCAGTAAAAATAGCCAGTAATACTACGACATACTAATACTTAGTTAATACTAAGGTACAAACAGTGTAAATGTTCCCTCAAAGCTCCAACAGTGGTTTTAAGGTCTGACTGTGAACCTTAAATAAGTTTTTCCAGGTGAAAAGTTTGTATTTGTACCTTTTCATAACCGAATGTTTTAAACAGAACAGTAAAATAAAAGCCCGGAGACGAGACGGGGTGTGTGGAGTCAGTACAGCTTAGAACATATCATTTCAGTGGATTATGGTTCAGTTATGTTCCCTGACTAAAGGTACTGAGATGGACCCTTGAGGGTTCCACCCCTTTATTTCTGAGAGTGTGGAGCAGCAGGTTCACAATGTCCTTGTACAAACACAAGCATAAAACAATATAGCTACATCACATCCTCAGACTCTATTTATAATAAACATCACTATAAGAAATAAATATTTTAACACATTCACCAAAAACCTCTACCATAAAATCATCATTTGACTGTTATGGTGAGTATTCTGGCTTTAAACCTTCAGTAACTGGCGTTCCTCCATCTGTAAAGGAGGAATGTGTAATAAAATAGTCCCAGATCATTAATAAGACCACATACAGTCTGTTCTGTTATCAGGCCTCACTGTAAGACAGTAATAAGATCAGCTGAACTGACAGTACTGTAGAGTTTCTAAAGGCTTTCTGCCAGTCATTCTCATTCATCGCCCTGTGGAAGCCTGTGGAGGGTCATTTCTGCACTGTAGTTTACTTTAGAAGCATACATTTCACAAAAAGACCAAATGTAGTTTAGAAAATGCTTAAAAAGAAACAAAAAAAAACGGTGACTACTGAACAGCAAGCAGAAGATCACAGATTACACCTTCATAAGGAAGATATTATGCTCAACCTAACACTGAAATATAATCTGTTTTAGATCAGATTTGTAACTGTGTACCACTAGTAAACAAATACTCCTCTCTGTGGATATTACTAAACAGGAATTCCACCAATCCCACCATATCCTCGCATAATTGAGATGTGAAGTCATTCAGAGTGGTTTAAGTTCTGGAGAAACTTACCAACCGAGTAGTTCACAGTGGTGGTGATAGGAACCAGATGTCCACCTCTAAAAGCTCCCTCACAGAAAGTTCCTACATGAAATGGTTATGAATTCACTGCCTGATGACTGAGACACTGTTTTATGATAGTTTGGAGAACTCCATTCATGGTGGAGGGATACATAAAATGCAGGGCGCTGTGAGGCAAAATAGTTATTATTATTTCAGATTTTCCACTATTTTCCATCATCAACATTCCATATAAACTCAGAAGACTCGTGTAGGTTCACTGGTGGTTCTGGATAGTAAATAAAATATCTATATTTGTGTTGTAGTCATGGCGACCGCTGGTTCCTATCACCACCACTGTAAAGACATCTGAAGCATTTCACCCCAAACCACTCTGAATCTCTCTGTTTACACCTCACACACTGAATTATGCAGGAAATTTGGGAAAATCAGTTACCATTTAAGGTAGCTGGATGTCAGGAATCAGAAGGCTGGATATTTTTGGAAACGTACTGTAAGTTTATGCTGTGCCATTAGAGTCGGCTGGGCGTTTGTAACTGGATGTGGCTTTAGTTTAAGATGCTGGAGGACTAGAATAAACTTAAGGTCCTACATGTAGGTCGGTGCACACCAGACCACTCTGTTTAAATCTTAAACACTCAATTATGATACGAAATTTTGAAAAAAATTGGTGGAGTTCTCCTTTAAGAATGAAGTCAGGCTGGAAACTTTCCTAAACAGCCCAGACACAGCGAGCAGCTCCCATTAAGCTGGGATCCTCTCTGCGGGATCATGTCTGTGTCCCTGTTTATAGATGTGACCATTCTCTGTCTCGCGAGGCTCAACATTGAGCAGTCATTTCGATTTTAATCCCAAACTACAGAAATTACGGTAAACTGAGTCCCTCTAGTCTGACCCTCACACGGTACTGACACCCACCTAGCAAGGGGACAGTCACTTACTACACCCTAAATATGACCTCACTTTCATAAACCTGTGGTTTATATTCAGGAAAACAGATCAAAGAGCTCCACTTACAGACCCCACACCGTGCTCTCGGTGGCGCGTCGCAGGAAAACGCGTCCGTGGGGGAACTTTACTTATTACAAAGCGTTCCGCGGGTGACGAGCGCAGGTCTAACAGCGGTTATGACGAACTCAGGCCTCGTGGTGTTTTTGGTGTTATTATTATTATTATTATTATTATTATTAATAGTACTATTAACATTTTTTCCACTAATATGTTTAGAATTTATGCCATTCCTTTTTGCTAATAGGATCTCGCTACTCTATTCTAAGATTCTTCATGCTCAACTATTTTTTTAATAAACCCATTCTTTTACGATTTTCACTCAAATTATTACATTACGGTTTTTTCTTAAAATACAGTGACGGACGAAGTACACAAATCATGTACTTGAGTTAAAGTAGAGACACCCAAGGTAAAATATTACTCCAGTAAAAGTAGAAGTTCCTCCCTTTAGACCTCCACTTGAGTAAAAGTACTAAAGTATTCGCCTTCAAATGTACTTAAGTATCAAAAGTAAAAGTACTAAAAGATTAATTATGATTTTAATGTCCTGTTATCATTTTTGTAACAAGACTCTCTTCATTAACTCATTTTAGGTGAAAATACTCCAGTGTCTCTCTTGGTAAACCAGTCTTTTAATAGAAGGTCATTTAATTGTCTATTAAAATTATCATAAGCACAAAACACTGAAGGCAAACAGTTTCCATCAGGTAGAACTGAGTGGCTCTGAAATCACTTTTTACAAACAAGCAAAGTTTCAGTTTAAGATTTATTTGAACTTAGTTACAAGTTTAAGTTTAATAAAATCTTTAAACTCAGATTCACAAATGAGTTTCCTTTACTAAACTGCATCTGTAGGTCTCTGTTCGTAAAAATAAACTAGACAAAACTAATTTACTATAAAATGAAATGTGTTTGTATAAATTTAAATAAACGACAGTCTTATTTCTATATTGTGGTCTATTACCCTGGCACTGTGATCTGATTGGTGTTTTTGCTTCGCGCTTCTTTCGTTTTGACATGTTACGTTTTTATACACACATAAACCAAAAGGAACGACAGATTTCTCATAATGTAGTGGAGTAAAAAGTGAGATATTTGACCAATGTAGTGGAGTGAAAGTAAAAAGTCACTAAAATGGAAAAACTTCAGTAAAGTACAGATACACGAAAAACTACTTAAGTACAGTAAAGAATTACATTTACTTCGTTACTGTCCACCACTGTCAAATATCAAACTCACCGTAGTGCCTTTAGAAATACTGCAGTGGCTGTTTTTGGCCACTAGGTGGCGGCGCAAACCGAGAATTACTTTCAGCGGCTAAAAACTTTTCAACTCGAAGAAATTTGAGTCAAAACCAATAATAAACCTGGTATTTTTCAAGAACATGAGTTCAATCCATTAATAATTATGTATATATTTACACCAATTTCCCCCTTTTGTTAGTTTATATTTGCAGTGTGGTGCCACCATGTGCTAAAATAATACTCTAATGTGTGCTGAGAGGCTAACATCACAGAAACCATCATCCAAACCCAAATCTGTCAGCTGCATTAGCCTTTCAGACGTCATGACTGACTGAATTCCATTTATTTTGGGGACTTTAACGAGAAGGGGCGTAGCTAGAACCTGTTCAGTGGGACGGGCGGGTCACACCAAACTGTTAACATTTAAAAACTTAACCTGCTAACATTGTTATATTTAGCAGGCTAACATGCTAAACGTCTACATACAATCTACACAGCAAAAAAGGAAGGTTCTTCAAGGGTTCTTTAGTAAAGGCATTGGTTCTTCTATTGTTACAGTGTCAAACTTGTAAGAATAGAAGAACCTTTTTGGGTGCTATATAGAACCGTCTACAGCACATTCTCCATCAACCTGAAGAACTGTTTCACCATGCAAAGAACCATTTAAGCATGCAAAGGGTTCTTTGAGTGTTCATGGTTCTATATAGAACCATTTTCTTAACTCTAGAACCCCTTGAGATTCCATCTTTTTAAAGAGTGTGTCATATGGATGTCATATGGAAACACTGTACGTTTTGTTCTCTGTGCTGTTTCTACTCTGCGCTGAACACAGTAAACAGTGAACACTGTTGGCAGTAAAGTTACAGTAATTCACAAAGAGCATAACAGTGAATACTGTAATGCCCTCAGTGTGTAGGTGCTTTTCAGTGTTTTCCTAGTGTAGAAAAGCCAACGCAAGCAAAACAAACTGAACGGATGTTAAAGCTCAGCCTCGCCTCTGTTAACGAGAACTGAGAGAGCTTTACAGTTATTGACCAACGTGAGTCATTTATGGGGGGCAGTTTACAGTGAAATACACTGAAACACTCAGACATACACACACACACTACTCACACACACACACACTACTCACACACACACACACTACTCACACACACACACACACTACTCACACATACACACACACTACTCACACACACACACACTACTCACACACACACACTACTCACACACACACACACACTACTCACACACACACACACTACTCACACACACACACACTACTCACACACACACACTACTCACACATACACACACACACTACTCACACATATACACACTACTCACACACCACACACACTACTCACCACACACACACACACACACACACACACACACTACTCACACACACACACTACTCGCACATACACACACACACTACTCACACACACACACACACTACTCACACACACACACTACTCACACATACACACACTACTCACACATATACACACACTACTCGCACATATACACACTACTCACACACACACACACACACACTACTCGCACATACACACACACTACTCACACATACACACACACTACTCACACACACACACACTGCTCGCACATACACACACACTACTCACACATACACACACACTACTCGCACATATACACACACTACTCACACATATACACACACTACTCGCACATACACACACTACTCGCACATATATACACACTACTCGCACATATACACACACTACTCGCACATACACACACACTACTCACACATATACACACACTACTCGCACATACACACACACTACTCACACATACACACACTACTCACACATATACACACACTACTCACACATATACACACACTGCTCGCACATATATACACACTACTCACACATATACACACTACTCACACACACACACACACTACTCGCACATACACACACACTACTCACACATACACACACTGCTCGCACATATACACACACTACTCGCACATATACACACTACTCACACACACACACACACACTACTCGCACATACACACACACTACTCGCACATACACACACTGTTCGCACATATACACACACTACTCACACATATACACACTACTCACACACACACACACACACTACTCACACACACACACACTACTCACACATACACACACACTGCTCGCACATATACACACACTACTCGCACATATACACACACTACTCGCACATACACACACTACTCACACATATACACACTACTCACACATATACACACTACTCACACATACACACACACTACTCGCACATACACACACTACTCACACATACACACACACTACTCACACATACACACACTACTCGCACATACACACACTACTCACACATATACACACACTGCTCGCACATATACACACACTACTCACACATACACACACACTGCTCGCACATATATACACACTACTCACACATACACACACACTGATCGCACATATACACACACTACTCACACATATACACACACTACTCACACATATACACACACTACTCGCACATACACACACACTACTCACACATACACACACTACTCACCACACCTACTATACACACACTACTCACACATATACACACACTGCTCGCACATATAACACTACCACACATATACCACTACTCCACCACAACACTCGCACATATATACACACTACTCACTACACACACACGCTCGCACATTAACACACTACTCCACATAACACACTACTCACACACACACACACACTACTCGCACATACACACACACTACTCACACATACACACACTGCTCGCACATATACACACACTACTCACACATATACACACTACTCACACACACACACACACACTACTCGCACATACACACACACTACTCACACATACACACACTGCTCGCACATATACACACACTACTCGCACATATACACACTACTCACACACACACACACACTACTCACACATACACACACTACTCACACATACACACACTACTCACATATACACACACTACTCACACACACACACTACTCACACACACACACACACACTACTCACACATACACACACACTGCTCGCACATATACACACACTGCTCGCACATATACACACACTACTCGCACATACACACACTACTCGCACATATACACACACTACTCGCACATATACACACACTACTCGCACATACACACACTACTCACACATACACACACACTACTCGCACATACACACACTACTCACACATACACACACACTACTCACACATACACACACTACTCACACATATACACACACTACTCACACATACACACACACTGATCGCACATATACACACACTACTCACACATATACACACACTACTCGCACATATACACACTACTCACACACACACACACACACACTACTCGCACATACACACACTACTCACACATACACACACACTACTCACACACACACACACACTGCTCGCACATACACACACTACTCACACATATACACACACTGCTCGCACATACACACACTACTCACACATACACACACTACTCACACATATACACACACTACTCACATATACACACACACTGCTCGCACATATATACACACTACTCACACATATACACACTACTCCACATAACCACACTGCTCGACATACACACACTACTCGCACATATACACACACTACTCACACATACACACACTACTCACACATATACACACACTACTCGACTACACACTACTCG